TCAGAGTAACTACGGGACAGAGCAGAACTGTCACATCAGGTTTCCCATGCTGCAATCATTCCAGAAGCTAAGTGACAACTCATTCTGCTGGACAGAGGCAGGTGGGTTCAAATTTCTGACCTTTTGTTTGGCAACTGAAAGCTTAACCACTATGCTAGCATCAGAACTTCTAAAAGCACTTCCTAATACACTCTTGTTGTTGTGTACTGACCTTCCGGCGGGTTTTCAGAGACGGTTAATTGCACAGGAGGAGAATGCCCATCCTTCTCCCACCACTGGTAGATTTGAACCATGTGTCTTCTGGCTTGCAGCGCAGCTTCTTGCTACACTACTAGGCTACCAGCATTCTCTTCATAATGCATTAATTTAAAAATAAAAACATCAAACACCTCATGACTTTAAACAAGCTTTAAAAATCAAACTGGCTTCTGAGACCCTCCTGAGGAACTGCACACTCTGTAAATAGCAAAGCCATCAGGAGAGGACGAAGACCCAGGAGAAGTCTTATTAAATGATGAGGAGTGGTCTAGAGCCAATCTTTGAAAAATGCTTCTAGTATATTTAATTAGTCTAATTACAAGATGCACTTACAGCTTATTATTAATGCCCTCTGACAGAGAAGTGTTCTGGCCGTGAAAGCTCAGTGGCCACAGTGCCTTACAATGAACTTGGATCATTTCCAGGCATTTCCATTAGTCCCTAACACTTTGGAACAAGGCATGTCAGATATGCAGAGTACATGCTGGTTTAAAACGTGATACCCTCTTAAACACGCAACATTTTTGGCTTGATGAATTTAACTAAGACAATGTGTCTCTATCATCACCATGAGGAAGAATCAGACAGACATAACAGAAAAGCTACATTGCAAACCTACTGAAACTATAATTAAGACTGTCATGAACTGATCTCCAAACTCACTACTGTTCACTCATCCTTTAACACTAATGCTTCCAGTCTGTTCATATATACAGTTAAGGACTACTCAAAATCAACTTGATGTCTGCTAGAACAAAGCATGTTATACAGTGTTTCTAAAAAAAAGTATGCAAACTTCATTACACTGTGGTACAATCCCTGTCTATAATCAACAAGCCAGTAACTTTTCATATTCATGTTTGAGAACTAACAATTTTATTAAAAGGTAAATATCAAGGACACAGGCTGGTGTAAACACTAGGTATCCTAATTCTGTAGGGAGCTGTGCAGAATCAATTCATAGCTGACCCTCAAATGGGTTTTCAGAGGCAGTAAATTGCACCAGAAGATACTATCCATTTTTCCACAGAGCAGCTGATGGATTGAACTGTGTGCTTTCGAGACTGCAGTACAGATTCTTACCAACAGGCTACCAGAGCTCTTAACATGTCACAAATTTAACCTGTACACATGCTCTCAAGTTTTCATACCTTGCACACTGTGACTTCAATGAAAACCTTATTGTGTTAAAATTTTTCCAAGAAAGGACTATCTTGAGGATTGATCAGCTTTAAGAGTGTGGTTCAGAATCTGGATTAAGAAAGCAATTTTCCCACCTTTATTTAAATGCTACATACATCATCCTAATTACATTCGTAAAAAGCTTTCTTTTGAATTTGATAATGACTTTATGCATGATTCTTTTTCTTTTTGAAGGTAAAATAGATTAGAAAGTTTTACATCCCCAAAGAGACGAACCTCCTTCCTTGAAAGGAAATATGAAGGGGAGGCCTTTTTCTTGTTTTGAGAAGACAGTGGTGGTGATCTATTCTAAAGTTCATTATGATGTTCTTGTTCTCTCTGTTTATAGTATTACACGTGACTGCACTCAAATGAATGGTATGTTCTCGTAACATGTTTAAATGATTTATATAGATTTTCTTGCCCATAAAAAAATAAAAAGGTGAATATATATAGATGCGCAAACAGTGTGTTATGTGCCGTCAAGTAGCCTATAATTCATGGTGACCTTATATACACCACTTTTGAACCCTGACCTATCCTGAGCCAATCTCATCGTCTTTGACACACCTAATCATATAATTTCTCTAGTCACTGAGTCAATTCAGCTTATCTTGGGTCTTCCTCTCCTGTGCTGTCCCTTCATTCTCCCAAGCATGATGTTCTTTGGAGCAGCTTGTGAATTTGAACTGTGTGCCTTAGGGACTGCACCAAAACTCCTTATCACTAAGCTACCATAGATGGATAGATAGAGATGATAGATGATGATAGGTAGGTAGGTAGGTAGACAGCAAGCGATAGACATATATACATACATACACCCCCTCCCCCCCAACTGACATTTCAAAAAACTAAGCTGTGCCAAGAAATATGGAGGACAGCCACCTGGCCAACTGACTGGAAGACACCTCTATTTGTTCCCATTCCAAAGAAAGGTGACTCAATAGAATGCAGAAATTATTACATGCAAGCAAGAGTCTGCTGAAAATTATCCAAAAACCACAAGAGCAGTACATTGAGAGAGAACTGCCAGATGTGCAAACTGGGCTGAGAAGAGGCTGTGGTACTGAGGATGTTATAGCTAATGTTACATGGATCTTGGCTGAAAGCAAAGTGCAGAGGAATGTCTGTGTTTCATTGACTATGCAAAGGCATTTGTGTGAATCACAACAAACTCTGGCTGACTCTGAAAAGAATGAGAATCCCAGGACATTTGATTGTGCTTATGCAAAACCTATACTGGGACCAGGAAGCAGTTGTCAGAACAGAGCAGGGAGATACTCTATGATTCAAAATTGAGAAGGGTGTACGCCAGGGATGTACTCTGTCTCCATACCTTTTCAATCTATATATGCAGAACAAAGACATCATCTGGGAGGCCGGGCTTTATGAAGAGGAACATGGCTTCATGACTGGAGGAAGATTCATCAAAAACTTGTAACATGCAGATGACACAACCCTGCTTGCTGAAATGGAGGAGGACCTGAAGTGCTTGTTGCAAATGGCCAATGGTGGCAGCCATCAATATGGATTGAAGCTCATCAAGAAAAAACAAACAAACCAGATTTTCCCACTGGGCTGATTTGCAGCATTATGATAGATGGTGAAGAGATTGAGATTGCTAACAGCTTTAGTTTGCTTGGCTCCACAAACAAGACTTTTGGTACCAGCAGCCAGGAAAGCAAGAGACGAATTGCACTGGAGAGTCTTACCATTAGGCCACCAGAGCTTGCTCTCTAAGAATATGCAAACAGAAAAATCCCATAAGACTCTGTTTTAAAACAGGAAATCAATCTGGCCCAATCCGTATCAAATCACTTGTAAAAGCAAATGGGAGGAAGTAAAAAAGCTTTATATTAAAAGACTAATAACACTGAAAAGAATTACAATAGTGTGACTACAAAATATCAGAGAATCGGACTAGAAGAATGAAAATCTAGGATGTGGAATTGTACATCCTGGGGACCTCTGGGCTACAAATGGTGAGTACTGACGAGAGTGTAAGAAATCAGCTTTGTGGTGGTGGTGGGGTTTCCTCCCAATCCTGTGCTATCAAGAACATTGACTCACAGTGCTCCTAGGAACCCCAGGGGCAGTGGGTAAGAACTTGGCTGCTTTATGACAGACAGTATGGCAGCTGTAACCCACCAAGTGGCTCCATGGGAGAAAGAGGAGGCTTCAGGCTTCCATTAAGATTACAGTGCAGTTGGATTTTCTCCTCAAGACTCACCAAGAATTTAAATGACCTCAATGGTAATGGGTTTCAGGAGAGTCCTGAATAGACTGTAAAGCATTGTTTGTATATTTTTTTAGAATTTCATCTTTTAACTGAGGAAGAAAATAATTGTCTCTTTCTGTTGTACAAGGAATGGGTGCCTCACTATGAATGCTTTAAGGGTCTTTTTTTCTTTTGAAGGCAAGATGAACAATCTTCCAAATTATAGACATTAGCATAAAGGTTTAGTGATTATTTTTTTTAATAGAAAAAAAATTAGCCATTGGGAATGCTGTATTGTTCGTATCATACTAGTTTCATTTGAGAATTATCTCAAGAGAAAGAGCAACAGCTGAATAATCACTGCTGCTTTTAAAGAGAGAAGAAATTCATTATAGAACCAGTCTGACCTTAGAAAGTTTGTTATTGCAAAGCATACATCACTAACTTCAGGCTTTAATAGAAAAACATTTAACAAAAAAAGAAAAAAAAATCCTATAAGGAACATCAATCTCCAACTTGTTGGGGTCTTCTTCTTTATTACCTTATTACTGAACATCAAGAATTCACTATTTAATTTCTGTCTTATATCCACATTTAAACATATGACTATAAACTCCCTCTGTCGCCATATTTCTATTTTAAACTCAGGAGAAATGACAAAGTGTGCCCACATGAAATAACACTACTTTTTCTATTTTGATATGATAGAAACACCTGAAAGAACCTGTGCTTCATAAAAAATTTGGTAGGCATGATCATGATGTAGTCAGGAAAAAATCCATCTCTTTGCCAACATCATACGGTTTCTGAACTTAAAGAGTAAAAGCTTACTATTATATTATCACTTTATTCTCAAGCTAAAAAATCTCTCTGCTGACATTTTATGATTTTTATAACTTAAAAAGTAAAAACTTACCATATAATTTTATTCTCAAGCTATAAAAGTATTCTTTTAAAAACTCTACTCCATACTCCTGAAAAATCCATTTTTTATGATGTACAAATTCAAAATTTCTAAACTTTCTCATTAATTTCACTATCAAGTACAATCTAACTAATAATAATTATTTTACCATATGTCCCTATTTGAATAGTCAGAGGTTATGCTTGTGTACTAGGTAATTAGAGAAATATTATGTGACTCTGCATTTAGAGTAACCAAACACCTTAATCATATCCTTTCCTAATGGGTCATTGTACCAAAGAACCTAAGCCAAGTGGGTGAGTGAGAAAGGAGCAGTGTGTGTGTGTGTGTGTGTGTGTGTGTGTGTGTGTGTGTGTGTGTGAGCGCCTTATTTTTTCCTGGCAAAAACTTTTATCATACATAACAGTGCACACTAACTACTTGAAAAAAAATTCACATTTATTTACTGTCAAACCGTGTTAAACTTTACACTGGATATTAGTGATGGGCTCATTATTAACAGGTTTACACAAAGGGATGGAAAGAAAAGCAGAATTTTGCTGAAACAATTTACATTTCATTAGAACTTTATCATAAAATAAATTAATTACTAAATATAGGCAGAAGGAATATGGAAGAGTAATATTTATGTTTTATTTTATTTTTTAAAAAAAGAATAGGCACCTTTTGTTCACTAGAAAGTTTGTGAGAAGTGCCCAGTGCCCTCGCTGCCCTCTGTTCGAGAATAAACAGAGAGGTGAACACACAATCTTTTCTAGATTTCACCGCATTTGTGCAAGGCATGGCATAACTGGCTTCAAAGAATTTTCCTCCCCATAAAACACGTCCTTTTGGCAATAAGAAATTTAAATGTAAGAATAAAGACTAACTTGTCAAAGCAGAACACTGTATACAGTGGAAAATAAGTGAAAATGAGTAGAACTTACCATGACAAAGTGTAAGAAAAAACATTTCATAACATATGTGCAACCAAGAGCTTTTCACAATATTTTCTTCAAACTCTTTAAAATTATTTTAATGACAATTATATTTCAGTTGGACACAAATGTATTTATTTTACCCTAGCAATAGAACAAAATATAATTTCTTTAGCCATTTTTTTCATGAGAATAGTTCATTGTACAGTTGAGGAAACATATGAAATAAGGCCTGTGGCTTGATTGCTAGTGGTTAAACATGTTTTCAATCTTTGCCTTAATGTAAAAGATTTGCAGTGAACTGCAAACTGATGCAGAATATCTCTCCTGCTTTTCCAAGTCTTGTCAGGAACAGTAAGGTACAGTAAATTTGTCCCACAGGATTTTAAAGCCTACGTCTTGTATATAATACAATGCAGGCCTACAAAAGTGGAGCAGCCATATTTACAAGTTTAGTTCACAAACTGCTGCAGTAAAATGGCTGGCAAGTTTTGCTTTGCTTGTTTCACAATTTCTCTAAACAGCAGCAGAATCTTAAAATACCTGGTTGGCATCTTTTTCTTTGTAACAAATAATTCATTTTAGTATACTCTGTGTATATATAAAGTTTTTGTTTGCTTTATAAAAATTCACAGAACAGCAAGGTTCAGTCATCTTTTTTTTTTTTTTTTTACACCAGAGAACCACAGGTCTACAGAGCTGTCTCTTCAGCAAACTTGGAGGGGGCTGCAAGGACCCTCAGAGTCTTTCTTTATTAATACTTGCATGTGGCCCCTGGAATTCCTTAGCTGCACACTATTAAAGACTTGTCACCAGTTGCATTTGTCCTTCCCTAACATCGCCTTCCGGGATACATCCTTCTTTGTTAATGGGGATTATATAACCATCGCTATTGCCCCTGCTGATCTGGTAGCACATCTGAAGCTGATGGCCAGCTCCAAGATTTGGCATGCTTTTATAGTAAATGTCCTCATTCTCACTCCTCCTGGAGGGAGAGAGGTCTTCTTCCACGTCGGGGCTGCTCTCTGGATAGGGAGAGTCTCTAAGATTGGGCATGCTTGTGTAAAGAGAGTCTCTGTTGGGAGACTGGAGGTGGTCCTCAGCCTCAGCTGTGAGCTGGGAGACATAGCTATCTGTTCCCTCGGGCTTCACTTTCTTCTGGGGTTGGTACAGAAGGGAGTGAGTCCGTTGAGGAATGAGCGGCGCCTCGAGTTCTTTCTGATGGAGCTCCAGGCCTGTGTTGTCCCCGTGCATTAAAGATGAAGCATCTGCCACGATAGCATCATCTTCACTGCTGCTGCCTCCAATCATAGGTTTGACCGGTAGTGTGAGCTCGAGGTTGTGGGTCTTGCTGCCGCCCCGCAGGTTGTTGTGCACTAACTCTGAAATGATCATTTTCTCAAAAGCAGTATCATTCAGACTTAGTCCACAGTCTACGACTTGCATGCTGTCACTATAGTCCCCCTTTCGCAGTGAGTAGCTGTTGTTAAAATTACCATTTAGCGGTAGAGTATCCATGGCACTTGTATCCCTGGCATTGTTCAGTGAATGTCCTGCAACAGAAAAGGGGGGAGCGTCTATTACTTCTATTGCTTCTTTCTACAGAATCTTTATGTTCTTTTGTACAAGACTTTTTTTAATGTCGTTCAGGACAAAGTTGTATTTGAAAGCTAACACTTGAAAAAGTGCTAAGCTTTCCAGCATTCCCAACGGTTAACAGTTGTAACCCCTTAAATAACAGGAAAAAATGTTAAAGAGTAATACTGTTTTCCGGGGAGGGAAGGTGGCATACAAAATATTATTTTTATCAATTTCCGGGAGACAATAGTTACCAATTCATTTTGGTCAAATCTCTGACACAACAAAGACGACTTCACTCCATGCCCTTGCATAGTTAATGCAAAGCAATCCATTAGTGACATTTACATTTTAAAGTACAAGACTATGATTTATAAAAATAAAATTAACAGAATTTGTCCTAAACAACACTAAATTAAAAAGAATAAGTCACATACAAAAAACTGAAGGCAAATGTACGACATAAACCCACATAACTGGCAAGCAACTGTTTAAACAACATTCTAACATTTCCTTTTTTCTGGAGATGAAATAAAAAAAAGAATGAAAAAAATGGACAGAAACAAAGAATTTGTGTTAAACAAAGACAGCCATCTCTCATACTAACTGGGCCAGTGGCCCACAAGCACCATCCAACAACACGATAGACAGCAGGTGGAATGACTCACTTTGGACAACTCACATCATGTCTGTCTGCTCAGGCTATCTGGCCTAAGAGTAGCTGATATATAAAAGAAAGTAAAATGATTTATTGTAACATGATGAAGAATTTCTAAGCTTCTCAGCAACTTAGTCAGAGCAAGGGTTCAACAAATTAGATTACAGCAATAGCAGCCTTTTATTTTTGCATTGAATATTTGTTGTTTTGCATTTTTTGCACTAATAGTCTCTCTAATAACAATGGCCCCAGGCTTCTAATGGTCAGAGTTTGCCTGCAGCCCAGCAGTCTGCATCAGTCACAGTGACAGCACCGAATGAACCAGCAGAGCCTCCTATACAAGGTTGGCCCATAGACACCATGGGCATGGAGGTCAGACGCAGAAATGTCAGAAATTTCTTAAGTATGGCTCACAGAAATTAAACCAAGAATAAATATTAACTATGGAATGGGAGAAGAGTGTAAGCCCTTGGCTAGTTAATTTTAATTCTAAGGAATGAAAGATTGAATAAGTCTGCTGAAGATATGAAAAGAGGTTTAGGAGGAAAAAAAATATGGTAACATGCTCTACTTGTCAGAGTTGTAGTTTCTACAGACACATAGACATGTAAACTAAGACATCACAGTGCTTCTCAGGCAAATGGAAAAGAAAAGTTTTAGAGAAAATTAAATGGTCTGCACCATGGAAAGTAAGGTTATTCATTCTCAAAATCCTAGAGAAAAAAAAATCACTTGTGTACAGACAGGTCTGGAAAAAGAGAATGAAATGATGTTATTGAAATGAAACTGACCACTGTGAGGCTGCTGCATTGTATGCAAGGCTTGGAGGAGTTTAGGAAAAAATTGATTCTTGGAAAAAATAGTAAATTTCTCTTTTTAGCAATTACTCCACTCTTAAAGCTGCAGATTATCCTAGAAAACATAATTTCCTTTAGAAACAAGAATTATACCTGCATCATCTGGTGCAAACTTTTTGACTGCTAGATGTCCAATGATTATTGGAGAAATTATCAAGAATGGAAAATTAGGCAATAGGAAGAGTTTGCTTTCTTCTTTTCTTTTGGTTAAAAATCTAGACCAATTTCTCCAGTAAGTAATTAACAATTAAATTTGAATCACTCTCCAGGTGTAACAAAATAAAGCTGAAAAGATTAATTGTAAGGTTTCCTTCATATATTATAACACAACTCTCCAGCTTTATTAATTCCCATGTGGGTCTCAATCTTGCTAGGATCTATAAATCCAAAACATGTGGCATTTTTTGCTGAAAGTGACTGCTCATGGATCCCATTCATTGGTTGGTTGTTTTTTTCTAAAAATTCAATCCTATGAAGCATTTATCTTTATCATTCCTTAATAAATAATAAAAATAGGTACTGGATAATCCAGGTGTTTTCTATGATATACTGCAGATTTAAGCACATCATTGACTGGTTTTGTAGATGCAATTTTTTTCTGCCCAAGTTCAGGTAATTCACATGAAGACTTTCCACAGCCTGTAGCAAGATTACTGTGGGAATGCAGAAATGGTAAGTCAATTATTAAGCATTTTGTTTGACAATACTTCAGGCTTTAAAGAGCAAATTATTTCAGCATTGCATATACTTAAGTATAGACAGCATTTGCTACAGACCTTTATTTCTGACAAAAGGCAGTACACATATATTGTTTGAATTTGGTAACATTCTAGTTGCAAATTGTGAACCACTTGCCCGCTGAGTCTACTTCATGACTGCTAGTTATGTTTTAATTGTGCCCGTTAGAAATCATGCTGAAAAAATTTACATTTGATAGGCAAAGTTAAGTTTTACTCCCATACTTGTCTCTCTGTAGGTTGCTAGAGGAAAGCATAAGGAAAGTAAGAAAACAAGAGAATGAAAAGAGAAGCTGCAGTTAAGGTAAAAAAAGAATTTTAAGGAAAAATAAAGGAAACAAAGTTCTGTGTTTAATTTAGTGGCAAATATCAATCACAAATCAAGATTATACGCTACTAGTAATTATCCAATAACATTGACCAAAATCTTTGTTAACATTAAATATATATGCTTTCTTTAATAAAAGAAAATAAGCTATTAGAAAACATAGTAATACAGGATGGGTTAACAACCCACTCCAACCCCCAGTTAAAAACTGTAAGTATAAACTGACTAATATTGACTTTATTCTCCAAGCTTACTTAATAGAAAAACTACCATAAAGCTGCACTATACTATAGTTTGGTTATATTGGTAATGCTGGACACAGTTTTCTATACCTAGGCATCCAAATAATTTTATTAGCTAATTCATTCCAGAAACAATTCTGTCAGCAAGCTTTAGTCAACTGAACAGTATATTACATAGATAGGATACCTCTAAATGATATAAATCTTGAAGATGGGCTCGCGGACCATGTGATGTCAGTCCTGTAATAATATATTAAGATTTATGCCACCTGTGTTAAAAACATGGATAATTATTGGTAATTACTATCATGACTGAGGTTTTACTATAATATAGTGCAGTTTTAGAAGCCTGGCATGGACAGTACCACAATTTTTTTTTTCTTTTTTAATTGAGGAATTCAGGATATAATAACAAAGCTACAACAACTTGAATTGTTATTTTAGAAACAGGGAAAAGATCAAAGCTTTGTTTAGCAGCAAAGAAAGGTAGTTTTATTCGTAAGTATAAGCACACCTGGTGAGTTAAATACAGGAGCTGAAGGGGCATTACATACAACTGTTTCAGCGAGCAATGTGTTATAGGGGTTGTTAGTGCCGTGGGGTCGAAGAAGAGGGTTTGTTAGTAGGTAATTGCCAGTCATTCCTAAAGCAAAGAAACAGAAAAAATATACATCAGTTCTCTTATTTTAGTGTTATAGATGCACTAAAGTTTGGTTTGCTTTTGGTTTTTTTTTTCCTTTCTTTTCATCAAGGATAGCAGACAACGTGGCAGTGGCAAATCTGCTGAAATTTTCTGACTGTATTTGAACTACTAATTTGGAGGAGAAGGGGGAGAGGGAAGTTAAATTTCAGTAATTCACAGGTGCTTTCTAAAGTCCCCCAAGTAAACACCTGCTGGGGATGACATTTACTAATTTATAAAAAATCACTGTTAAACAAAAATGGCAATTAAAAGCATAGAGATCAACATTATGTTTCAAGATGTTACTGCTTAATATTAAAAACTTAACCACTGAGGCCCAGAAGAGGGAAATCTCAAACTTTCAGAATTTACAGGTGTGGGATTATCCCTCAAGAAAACATCTGTGTTAATACCAATTTTGATACAAGCAGAAGAAATAACAACTTTCATCAACAGATAAAAATTATGACACACTGCAAAAAGCTTCTCTTAGTATATGCAAAAGCACACATGCCGAGGGGAGGAAGGGAAAGCACTAGATATATAATGAATTATTAGATCATTCACAAATTCTATACAGTGAAAAGTTTAATTGCTTATTCTTTATCGCCAGGTTTCAAAAAAAGGAATCCTTGAATAATTAATTTATGTTTTTGATAACCAGTTTAAGAGACTAGATAAAACAATAGAACAATGAGATAAACACACAATTCACTTATTGTAATCGACAAATCACAAAACTTTCAATCTTAACAAACATCATTTGCATAGCTAATTTAGCTAGAACTGTTGTATTATTTAGGCTGACTGAATATTATTCCTATTTTATTTTAAACCAAAACCTTAACAATGTGAATAAGATTTCATTATGATCAAGTGTAACATCTAGTTTATTTACATGAACTGTAAATTATCTGGATAAATTATCATCTCAAGGTGACAATAAAAATGTTTTCTTTTTGTCATACCAAACTGAAATTTACTAAGCTTTCTCAGCAATATGTTATTTGCATGTTGTGCTATTATCTTCATAAATTATTTTATTTCCCAGACTATTTTAAGGATTATATTCATTTAGGTCATAACTTTACAACTGCAATTAGAGATATTTTAGTTATTCAAGTATAAAGAAATACTTTATACACTGTTACCTATTTTAATGCTTTATACAAATTTATCGTAACTTTTGGGCAATATTTGTTTTGCTTTTTGAAGAAGTAAAATAAAGAAATTCAACTATAAATAAAGAGTTTTAACTGTAAAAAACTCCTTTTTTTACAGGAACCATAATTGGGCTAGTTGCATTAGTATTTTAGCAAGAAAATGCTTATTAATATATTTAGGTTAAAAAAAAGAGAGATTTGCACTCACTAAGAAAGCATTTTGATCTTTGGGCTCTCAGTAATTAATTGCTTTTCCCCCCCAGTCTTTTCATGAAAACGTAGAATTTAAAATTTTATTTTTTCACTGTATTCTTGAATAGAAAGAATTTAGATGTTCTTAATGAATAGCAAAAGTGGTTTCAAGAATTAAGAAAAAAGTTTAGTAGCATGTGATATAAAGCCATTTGAGAGAAAAGTTAAGCATTTTCTCTATAGAGTTTAAATTGGCAAAAAGTATAAAAATTTAAATTATTTGTACTCAAGTTTTCCTAGTAACTGACCTTGATTAAGTGTCGAAGTGCTATTGATGTCACCTGAGATAAAAGAAGATTCAGACTGTTTTCTCACAGTGTCATTCCACATCCTTCTTATACGACTCTATTAATATAAAATATCAAGACAGATATTATGTTAGTTCTCCAAATGTTAACTTAGTAAAGATGCAAAAATTTACACTAAACAACTCATGAGCCCTTATCTGTCAATCTTTTAAAGACTGTGTGTTGTTCCTAACCTAAAACTAAGAAATTTATACTTCCCTGTGGATTCTCTGTTAAGACTTTTTTTTTTTTACTGTTAAAGTTTGAGATGAGCCCAACAAATTTTAAGAGTGCCCATTGTGAAATAGGCACTGGACTGTGTGAACTAAGGTGAGCAAAAACTGATGATATACTTTACAATGAAGTTCTCTCACAAAGGAGGTTTTCAACTAAAGAAATTGAAGACATTTGGCCAAATATATGGCTAAAAAAAAATAAAAGGAAAACATTTAAAAAGCCAATTATTTGCCATCTAGATCATTATAATAAAACGGTTAGTGCATCTGAAGAGAACATGTCTCAGCAGGCTTTCCTAAATGAAGTTAATTCCAAATGCTGTCAATCTCTTCTTTACCTGTGTGCCAGAGGAATACCGAGCACTGGTTCTGGTGGTGGATGCCTTCACCGAACTATGGGGGCTCTCAGTTGGGAGGCCACCACAGCAATATGAGTGTCTGAAGCACTTTCCATATTCTTTTCGTACCTGCAACGAAATAATAAAAAGACCAAGAGATTAATAGAAACATATTTCAGCGTGCTTTCTCTCCAATGAAGTGAGCAATAAACAACTCATCACTGAAGTGTCAGAACTGATCCACAGCTGACCCTGTAGTAGTGGAGTTTAAGAGACTGTAAATCGCACGGAAGAAACTTCCCATCTTTCTCACTCAGAACAGCCTGCCTTTGGGTTGGCATCATACCTCCCTACACAACAGAATTCCCCATGACTTAATTGGTGGGAGGGGAGAATTAAACTTGCAAAGCAGGGCTCAACTGAAACTGAAATACGAATCAAAAATATCTCTGAAAACTAGATTTGTTAGTAATGTCGTTAAAGAGTGATATAAAAAAGAAATGCTTTCTAACCTGTGTTATTATTATGCAAATGTCAGTTATTCATTTATACACAGTAATTTTCTTTTAAAGCTTTATTTCTATACTTAGTAAAGTTTCCTCATTTTATTTTATAATTTCATGCTATGAAAATAGGGCAAAATTGGTATTTCCCTTTCTTAATTACTTTTATCCATTGTGTGATTCTATCATTTACGTTTTATACGCTTCATGTGCTCTCAGGCAGGTCAACATATAAACCTCTATTACTGAATTGCAGGCTTCAAGATAGCCTCCTTATAATGAAAAAAAAAACAAAAAACCCCACAAAACTTCTTTGGCACAGGACAAATAAAAAAAACTTGGATACATTTTCCATTAATGAGGAGGGGAGGTTTTATTTTTTCTTAACTTTCTGATGTTTTACCATTTAGTGTAGAGGATCTAAGAATGTCTATTCACTTCATTAGCACACAAGGGAACTATTTATGCAATTTCCATTCACATTAATGAGTTACCCATGTAATTACCCTTTTCCCCTGAAGCCTGGATGTAGGAATAGAAAGTTGTTAGGCCTAAAAGAAAGTTTAAACCAAATTTTTAACAAAGAAGTCCAAACAACTGCTAAATAATGGAGTCACCCTAGAGTGGGAAGCACAAACTACAGGGTGTTCAGGACTAGCCATATAGCGGGTACACCGCTATATATATATATATATACACACACACACACACACACACATGTATACACATATATATTATTATGACTAAGAGACATTGGAATTATATGACAATAACAAAATAAAAATTGCAAATACAGGCCATGGTCTTTGCAATCACTTGTTATGCATCAGAGAGTTGGACAAAGACTAGGGAGGATAGGAGAATTGATGCCTTTGAGCTGTGGTGCTGGAGAAGAGTATTGAGGGTATCATGTACTTTAAGGAAAACAAACAGATTCATCCAGGAGAGGGTTAAATCGGGCTGCTCCTTAGAGGCAAGGATTCTGATGCTTTGGCTGACATACTTTGGACATGTTGTAAGGAGGGACTGGTCCTTGGAGAGGAAGACCTTCTATGAGGAAGAACCTCTATGAAGTAGACTGATTCAGTGACTGGGGTAATCAGAATGGGTATATCTGAGACAGTGCAATTGGTACAGGACAGAACAGAGTTTAGGGTCGCTATGAGTCGCAAGTGACTCGATGGCACATAACTACAACAACAGCAAGTCAAAAACAAAACAAGAACACTCAAAGGCCTGTTTCAATTCTATGCTCAGGAGGTGACTTGAAAATCTACAACTTTGACACTTTCTTACTTGTAAAGCTAGAGATCGAAAGTAACTTGATGGCCCTTTACATGTACCTGGATTTTCATCTTCTCAGGCTTATTTAATTATACTTACTAGAATAAATAACAAAGTTGAATTTCAGTATTATATTTTGTCTAAATATGCTCAAACAAGCAGTAAAACCTGTAATTTTAACTTAATCAACTTATATAATATTCTTAATAAACTATCTTGGTATTCCAATAGAAAGCATCCAAGACTATGTAGAAATTGTTCAAATATTCATAGTCGGTAATATGTAAGGCACAGTAAAGCTTTCTGTTCAATTAATACACATTACTAGAAATAAGAACCACCTTGCTCTTTTTCTATGTTTTACATGTCAAAAGTCTTTAATCACCCCAGAATCAACTTATCTGCCCATGCTCAACTGATTTTTGACAAGGAGATGAAATAAGTTAAGTGGGGACAGCTTTTTTAATAAATGGTGTTGGTGAAACTGGAAAACCATCTGTAAAAATTTCAAGCAAGACTCATACCTCTCACACCATACAACACAAAAACCAACTCAAGGTAGATCAAGGACCTAGGAATAAAACCAAAGACTATAAATTTCATTAGGGGAAAGCTTGAAAGAACTCTAGAAGCCATAATACATGATATGAACAGTCTTCAAAGTATAATGAAAAACTCACAACCACAAGAGAACAAAACAAATGAATGGGACCCTCTGAGAATCAAATCCTTATGCAGCACATCAAAGAAACTTTTCCAACAGGGTAAAAAGGAAAGCCACAGACAGGGAAAAAACAGTATTTGGTAAAGACATATTTGACAAGGGACACATATCTATAATTTGAATATGAAATACTCAAACCCCTCAACAAGAAAAAAGGTAAACAACCCAATTGCAAAATGGGCACAGGATATGAACAGGTACTTCACCAGAGAAAACAATGAGATGGTGAACACACACATGAAGATATGTTCAAAACCACTATCTGAGTGATACAAATAAATACAATTATGAGATATTATCTCACCCCAGCAACAATAGCAAAGTTCAAATAAGTAGCAAACAACAAATGCAGGCAAGGTTATAGAGAGATTGGAACCCTTATTCATTGCTGGTGAGAGTGTAAAATAGTACAACCAGTATGTAAGACAATCTGGCACTTTCTCAAAAAGTTGGAAACAAAATTTGATGTAGCAATTCCACTCATGGGAATATAAACTAAGGAAATTGGAACCACCATCATCCAAACAGATATAGGGACGCTCATGTTTGTTGCTGTATTTACAAAAGCAAAAAGATGGAAGCAATTTAAGTGCCCATAAAAAATGAATGGATAGAAAAACTATGATATATTCACACAATGGAATACTACACAGCACTGAAAAAAAAAAACCTATGACCTCATAAAACATAAAGGTCAAATACTGCACAGCACAACTGTTATAAAGCAGACCTGACATGGGGATTGGGAGAAGAATAAGAAAGGATAGATAATGAATACTGCATTGGAACAGATGAAGGACAGAACTGTTTAAAAAAGGAATTTATGGTTAGGCATTATACATACAACAATGAATGATTTAATTATTTATTTATTTTTTTAAGTGAACGGGGAAAGAGAAGGGAAGGAGGGGGTAAAACATGAAACAATGAATGAATGAAAATCTAACTTTTCTGTAAACCTTTGTTAAATCATAACTTTTTACAAAGTCTTTAATAATATAAAGGAAATGTAAAGGCACATGCGATCATATGCCTTGGTAGTAAGGCAATGCACTAACAATCCAATGGTGCATGGTTTGAATCCACCAACTTTGTGGGAGAAAGATGAGCAATCTCCTCTTATGTGACTTGCTGCCTCTGAAAACTCAATGGAAGATCAACTATGGGTCAGCTCTTTTTTTCTTTGCATCACTATGAGTTGTGCTCGACACGATGGCAATCAACAACATATCATATATATATAATTTTCACATATGTAAGAAATATGTAAAAACCAAATTAAGGTTTAGAAAGTTAAAGTGTACTAAATAAATCATGATACTTAAAAAAAAAAAGTCTAGCATTTAATGGTTATTAACTGCTCTAAAATGTGTATAACCAAGACAATGGCAACCAGAATGGTATTTTATCCAAATAATACCTTCCAGCATTGGTTTTGCCTAATGTCTATATTGCTGTGAATGTACATTATCTGTCAGTATTGCACAGTCCACTGTCATTATCTTGAAATTATAGCTTATTCAAAACTGATGGAAGTAACAACACTATCATCTTGTCAGTACTGAAAACATAATAGTTTTCACTTTCACAATTCTATTTCTGAGTTCAATTTAGTGACCAACTAGTAATAACAGAATAAAAAGTCTGTATTACACATGCAGACAAGGAAAGGACAATACCTAGTCAAAGACATGGGAACTGTGAATTTAAATAGCAGCAAACTCTTCTCACCTTCTTATCTTGCTACATATTGAAAGCTATTCATCTTCATATTTGAGTATTATAGCTGAATTTCCAGATAAATGTTAAAAATAATTTATTATTAAAGATAGGAAGCTCTTTAATAGTATGCCTGGTTACAAATAAATCATTTGTTATATAAAAAAATAATCAAATAACAAACATAAGTACAGAAGCATTTACCCCTCACTTACTTTCTTTTGGAGAGCACAGTGAAAGATGAAAATGAACACTCCCTGGAAAGCATTAAAGATGGTGAAGAGATACGCCATCACAACAGTCTCCTCATTAATAAAAAGCAACCCAAATGACCAGGTTAAGCCAAGAAGACACAGAAGAGCAAAAGCGCCAAGCACCCAAGACCTGAAAAAACAATATGAATTTTATTAACAGGTTCACTGGGGAGAAGCACATATTTAATATTAACAGTTCAGTAGTAGCAGTTGACTTTCTCTATGTTCACATTCAAATTCAACAGCATTTTGGCTTTAACCTTTCATTGATTAAAGAAAGAACAGCATTTAGTACTGCAGACTCCAGTGAAAACAGCAACAGCAGGTATGACCTTTTTTTACTACAGAATAAACAAAGTATCAAAACTATATTAAAATACAGGTGTAGAACAACCCTCAATAACTTTACTGTCTTCTACGTGCATTTTTGCAAAATAAATGAAGGAGTCCTTAGTAAGTTCATGTCTACATTTTTATTCCTGTGGTGTACTTATAAGACACTGAATAATGTGACACATACAGAAAGGTTAAATGGCAGATAATCACTTAACACCTAAACTTCGGATTCTAATGAACTAATCTTGGGCGAGCCTAAGAATTGTAACTAAAGCATGAAGAAGCCTAGCTGAAATGGGACAAAAACATGAGAACAACTTCAAAATAAAATAACTTTGGAGAGATTTCATCATGAATAGCTTAAGGAGAAAAGAACTGTGGAATAGGAGGAAATGAGAAGGATTTAAAGTCAGTGCATTCCATGTCTAACTAATGATCTTACTTGATAAATGGCTTATTATCTTCATAGCTAGAAAGCATTATAAGCAGAAAAGAGAAACAAAATTATTAGACAGAATTAAAATAGAAAGTAATAGAAAGCATTTATATATTTTATAAATTAGTCAAAATTAAGAAAGTCAAAATGCAGAAGCAAGCAATTAAAAAATAAAGGCATATTATAGTTTAAAATTATTATAGCAAATTAGATATTCCAAAATAATTTTAAAATTAAGGGCAATTCATGATATTGACGGATTGTAAAATATAAATCATGCCATAAATTTGTTAATGTAGGGTTCTACCTTACCCAGGTAAGTCCGTATTATAGTAGCCATCACAAACACGGTAATTACTGGTGTAGATGAGAAGACAGAAAGAGGAAAAGGAAGAAAAGAGAGAGATGCTAAAGATTAGCTCTCTCTCTTACCATGCAACATGCAATGAAGCTGGCACTAACCTATCCAAAACATCTAATTTGCTTAAAAAAAATCTACCTTTACTATCAATCTGCCATTTTTTACATTGAAAAAATATTTTTTCATAATCCCACTATAACCAATTTGACTAATACCATCACAATATTATAATTAAAACTCTCATTTAAAAATAACTCTGAAAATGCTTCCCTAAGATGATTTAATGATGCATCAGCTATCATTTTTTGTTAATTAGATAGCATTTTTTTTCCCATTCAGAGTATATCGCAGTTTTTACTCAGGACTGAAATAAAGTAAACATTTCTTTAATTATCGTGAAAACAAGAGATAATCTTCAAGTTAACAATAGTAATAGAATAAAGTCTTTTTCGAGAACAGGATTAGGAGTAGGAACTGCTCAGAATCCTTAAATCAAAAAGCCATTTAACAAAACAAACTTAATATAATCATATCAGCCATGCAAACAGGAATATCATTTTGAAGTGCATTTTAAATTCAAATGAAATTGCTACAGTGATTTGGAATTTCCATGAAGGCACTGAAACAATTTCTTGGCTCTAGACCAAGACAGAAATTATTGCCCAATTTTTCACCAATATCTGTGACATGGTAACAGTGAGACTCAACCTTGATCAGTAACATTTCATTTGGGGTAATTTCTACAGTTGACAGAAGGTATTCCTGTGTTCCCTGTGGAAAATATCTTTTACTCAGTTTGTGAATTACTCAAATTGAAATATGAAACACTTACTTAATGTTTTCCAACCTGCTAGAATCTGGTTTCAAAGTGTTTGAGTGCTTCACCATTTTGCACAATGTGATCACCAGGAAGATAATATTAAGCTGTCATAATAAAGAATAAATTAGATTGCTTTTAACAAGTGGTAAATAACAACGCTTTATAATACATTTTTTGAGGTAAATACTGTTTGGTATCAATGGCATGTACAGACACTAATACAATTTTTATTTGTGCAATATTTTAGTCAAATTTTTATTAAAAATACTCTGGTTATACATGATAGAATATTTGATAGATAAATTGAGAGCAAAACGTCACCTCACTAACTCAGTTATCACGAGGTATGGCTACCAATAGATTCGGACTCGATGGTCCTCAACAACAAGAAGCCTAAATTAGTGTCCTAAGCTACAGGTATTCCCAAGTCTAAATGTCGTGTGATAAAAATACATCAGTGCATTTCTCAGTAGGGGCATTTATAATGGAATAATCCTTGGGTTTGGGATGATGAAACATGGTTAAGAATACTAAGAATAAAGTTCTTAATTTTGACTGTCTTCTAATAACAGCAACATTTGTGCTGTCTACTTTTAAGGTAGCTGTGGGATGAAAAACAATTTATATAAATGTATACAAAATTAATTAGTTAAGTAGAAAATTTCTATTTTTATGGTATTTAACAACATCCTGTTAGAAGTCTTCAGTTATCTTTTTTATCTTTCAATAATGTATAAAATTAGGCAAATTCTGAAGTAATTTTAAAAGCCTTTAAAAGGTTCAGCTGTGAAAAAAAATCTAGGAAGAAAAACAAACTGGGGATGATGGAATCTGATTCTAGAAGAAGGTTGAGAGTCCAAGAAGTCAAGAATGAATTCACAAGTTGTGCTTTGAGTGAGGAAAGATAATGCGTTCATTTTTTGCTTTTGTCTTTTTAAACACCTGACAGAATGTTAGACCAAGCAACAACAGTTCTATTTTTTAATATCCTGATAATTAATTCAGATCATTCCTGGACTTTTTACATTTAATTGGGATTATTATGTTAAAAAAATTTTCTGTGAATTTATATTATTTCATCAGAGAATACAGACCAAATGGTATATTCATAAGGAGATTCATTTCACATTATAATAAATTTAATTCTTTGTGGCAAATAAAAAACAATGTTACAGTAACATGACTATGTTACCGAGCTACAATATCATATACTAAAATGATAACAGTTTATTCATTCACTACTGCTCCTGATTTTGTAATCAGGAAGATGATGTAAAGTGATAAACTATAGTTTCCAAGTCCTTCCAAGTGATAGTTTAGCATCCAAATGAAAGTTAAAATCCAAGGTACCTAACACTCATTTGTCTACTATGTCTTACAATTTCGTGTAAATATAGAATAATATAGAATTTCCTTTAAAGGGATAAAAAGAGGCTAATGGGTATAATTTGCAACTATGTAGTGATGTATTCTATCTATTCTTATTGAGGACAAAATAGGTTCTATTTTGAAGAGGAAAAAAAAATCTTATTTACCAATTGAAAAGGTAAAAAAACTTGCGGAAAAGTTTCCCAGCTTAATTTTCTGAATATCACTAGATTGCTACATTATAACGAAATGCTTACATTTTTGGAAATAGTTACAATTTCACAGAAAAAATGGTCACTGACCCTGCCCCTTTACCAAAGGATCTGACTATCCTTACTATAAAATATGCAATTTCTACCCTTTAAAATTAGGACAATAAATACGTTTTTAAAGGATATGATAAAACTATCTTTAATTTTAAAATTCAGTAATTTTTACTTTATACAGCAATACAGCCTTAACTAACAAACCAATGACTAAAATTAATGGAAAAATAAACTCCAAGAACTTATGTAAACACACAAAATGACTAAATCTCATTAAAAATTAAGTCCTCATAATTTGTACAATCAAAATAAAATCAAAGAAAATTTTCTCTTTTTGGGAGAGGAGGTAGTCTCAACAAGAAATTCTTACTTCAAATATCTGGACCTAAGGTCTCCTCCCTTTTCTTAATTATACAATTTCCTGGATCATATAAAGTCCTTAAATTGGTACTCATTACTTTCTAAATAAGATATAATGATCTGCTAATTCTGTAAAACAAAACAACAAACCAACTAGTAGCATATTTCATAAAGGGGAAAACAATCCACTATACTGTAAAATATTATATGGGAAGTAAGAAGAGGAAAAATGTGGACATATAAAAGCTTAAGAGGACCCTGTGGTAAAGAGCTGTGCTATCAACCCAAAGGTGTGTTGTATTCATGAGCTGCTCCAGAGAAGAAAAATAGGCACTTTGCTCCTATGTGATCTACAGCTTCAGAAAATCTGCTGGAGGGTCAGCTATGAATTGGTTCCAACTGAATGGTACATAATAACAACAATGCAAAGTATTATTTAGTAACTAGAAAAAGTCTTAGAGGTGAACACATAAGAACAGACCTGTTCCATAAAGAAAAGCAGATTTAAAAAAAAAAAAACCAAACACAAAACCAACAAATCTAAACAAACAAAAACCATGTTATTTAGAATTAAAGATGTTTTCCAATTAAAAAAATTACTCATGAGAAAATACTATTAAACCAAAGAATTGATTTATAAAAGAATTCTTCCCATCATGACTAAGAACACCAAGCAACCTGGACAGCTACAATCTGCCACAGAATATGGTATCTATTTCAAGTAATCCATTAGAAAATGATTCTCCTTCCTCTTTCTCCTTAGCCCATTTATATTTTCAAAATTGTTGTTTCTTCAAGGTTATAAATGTAACAGTACTCTTAAGTTCAGAAAATTAGGAAGGTCAGGGAAGAGAAATATTTATAAACCTCAGACCTCCTGAGGTAGCAGATAACCTGCCAATTATTTGGATATTAAGTATCTTTAAAACATTACTTAATCACTAACCTATTAGGTTTAAGATTTAATATACCATGGCCTAGCTTAAAAAGCTCTCTGTCCACGTAAAATGAACCAATTTATTTTGAGTTAGAAATTAGGGAATCTTCTAACATAACATAAAATCCATTTTTATATATACCTATTTCTAGTTGCTATAAAGATTAGTGTATTTTACGGAAGTTGGTTTTATCTTTTGAGTTAATTGTTTTTAAAAAGCCCAAACAAACAACAAAAAACCCCACAACATTGCTACTGAGTCTGAATCAACTCATAGCTGTCTCTGCATTGGCTTTCCGAGACCGTAAGTCACAGGGGAGGAAGACAGGCCATCTTTCTTCCAGGCAGTCACTGGAGGATGGGGACAGGGAAGCACAGCCTTTGGGTTAGGAGCAAAACTCCCTACAGACTAGACCCCCCAAAGCTTACTAATAATTTGGTCAGCATATAAAAATACAGCCTCAAGGAAATCCTCAATATAATAGGTGTGTTCTTAAAATTACTTCCATGTGCTGGAGATTTTGAATTTTTCATCTCCTTTCAGCAAAGCCCTACAAGAACTACACACTTCTACTCTAACCACTCAAGTGTTCTACTCACACCACTCAGTATTTGCCCAACTCCACTTAGTTCTGCTGTCCCCAAAACCAGTTTATGTCAATCACAACAAAACAGCTATATTTCACAATTTACAAGTGAATTATATTTATATATCATTTTCACAAGTGCTAAAAAAACCAGTGGCCCTTTCCACACAAAGAGTAGGGGTTACTAATACATCTAAAATTGTATAATGAATGTTTCAAAAGACTTAAGAAAAGGAATCTCTTTAAAGGCAACTGAAAATATCAGCGGGGGGAGGGGGAGCGAGGGAAATTTTAAGCTAAAAAGGACTTCGTTCATTTGTTTCACAAGTGTCTGAACTTCCAATTTTAAAGGAAATGAGAAAAAAATTTATAGTTCATGTACTGTCAGATAGCTGATAATTAGAGTTAAATCTGGCATTAATTGAGCCTTTAAAATAAGACTTGAAAGCATGTAAATAATGAGGTGATGATATCTTTTAAAGGACTATCATTTCAGGATGGTAATCATGAAATTATGAATAACAAGATAACAAAAAAAATCTAACAAAAATAATTAAGGAAGGTCATCTATAACTGAAATTTTATTTACCCTATACTTTTACATAATGAATAAAAATATTCCTATCATTAAGTAATTGTACACTTTAAGGAACAGCTCCATCATATACAGCAATGAAATATTATCAGGAAATAAATAAAACATGCTTAAGTGTAAATACTTTCAATAAGGCTATACAATTTTTTTCCTTCAAAGAGTAAAAACATTTAAATGTTAATCATTAGTGTCAGAATAAATATTGTAATTGCGATCTCTTTTAGGAAATAATACACTAATATAAGAATAAAGACATGATAATACTACTCTTGGAATATAAAAAGTTTCAATATTTTTCTTCCTGCTTCTACTCTCTTCTTGCTCTCTTAAAGACATGTCAGAACAAGAGACAGATAAATAACAACATATCTGATAAAACAGTCAAACAAAGCCCAATGAAGATGAAAAGGTTTGATTTCCAAAGGACTAAATGACTACAAATCTAACATGTTTAGCTGACCATAACCATACACTTCTGCTCTCATTTTTTTCTGGTTAAGTTATTGATATCTTCTACCTCTTCAATCTTCCTTCTCCCCTTTGTTTTCACCCTGCCCTAGTTCACACTGGAAGATAAACAGAGGATGGGGATGGGAGGGGAGAGACAAGGGGGAGAAAGAGAGAGAATGTCCACTCAGTTCAATTGCTGCTCTTCTTCCATTAATTCCAAAGCTTCCACTTAATGCCCCTCATGTGCTTTGATCTTCCTTTGCAATACAAATAACTCTCAGTATAAAGAATAGTATTTTAGGACAAATGAAATATTGCTATGCCTCAGTGAAAGAAGACTGAATTACAGCTGCCTACACAAAAGATTTATCTAAACCTAGTATATTACAACTACATACACCAAAGATTTATCTAAACCTAGCATATTATAGCTACATACACCAAAGACTTATCTAAACCTTGCAATTTAATAGAACTTGCAAATTCTACCATTCGAGTTACCATTGTAAGTACCATTTAACTGAATTCCATTGCCTATTGTATGCCAACACCACCAGCTCAATGATTAATTTTGAAAATGAGGTAACTCACTGAAGCATTAATCAGGGGTAACTCTCCTTCATCTTGAAAGCACACCTACTAACAAGTAGACTTTCTCTTAACAAACAAGTGAGAAAAATATCAGAAGCACAAATTCCTTCCTATTCTGATAAGACAGCAGAACTGGAGAATTCTTTTTCACTGATGAATATTATACCTCTTCCTATCTCAGAATAATTTTCATAAATATTATTTGCACAATCTCTGGCAATATAAAGTACTAATAAAATTCATCTTCTCCAACAACATGGCATAGCTACAGATGCAAAAACACAAAGACAAAGGAGGGGGAGGGGGGAACAAAACAGATTACAGAAGTGCTCTATTTGTTTTATAGCCATCAACCTGCTCAATTGAATCACATCCGTCTGAGTTTAGCAGCTTAAAATTCATTCCACAGCCTGCAGTGCTGACATGGATATGATAAGACAGAAGAACAGAAACACCACTCTGAAGTAACCTAGCTGAACTGCACATGTTCTGACCCTTTTTGTCCTCCCTGGAGCTTTTGCTACCTGGCAAATGCAGCTCTAAAACTGCACTTGTATCTCCAGATCTTTGCTGTTAGCCAAGCAGAAACCTATTTTCCCCTGGGACTAGCAGCCAGAGAGGTGTTCTCTGAAGAAGACTTCTAAATGAGTGTGTGAGCTGAACTCTTACTGAACTGAATTAATTATTAACGATGCAGATGGAACTGTCCAAATGATAAGAACAGCTCCTGACGTGTCATGATCCAAGCTTTCATTAAACCATTTCAGGCATACTAATGGTTTCCCACTGCTCATTACTTACAAGCACTTTTCTCATAGATATAATAACTCGAGTGCCTGTAGGCAAGACATTCTATAGAAATGCAGAAGTAGGAAGTTTTATCTTTCTTAGCATATTATTTTTTATAGAACTATTATTACATAAAATGTACACCTATTTAATACTTCTTAGCTAAACAGTTTTATTTTAGAAATCTGAATATTCAAATACGTATTTTCTAAAAAGGTCAATATGTAATTTTTTTCATTAGAAAATACCTTGAAAGAGTAGCATAAAATAGAATCTTCTATTATAATGATGTGTCTGAATTGAGTTTCAATGTCTTATTAACACACCAGAGGGATACACTGGTTAACGTACCAATAGTCTATGTCATACAATCATATTACATCTTGATTTATGGTACATAGAAGATACTGTATTGCACTCTTTTACCACGCTTTGACTGGGACGTTTAGAGGGTAAAGCAACTGCAAGAGAAGAATTGCTCCCAGGACCTATACCTGAACTGTGATTGCTACCTGCTGTTTCACTTGAGTTTTTTAAATGTTGGGAACATTGTTCCCTAAAGCTTTACATATCTTAACCTAAATGATTTGGCAGAGGATAATTATGATAAATGTAATAAAGAATAGTGGATTCTTATAATAAATGCTCAATATAAAATGTCCTTTACCTCTTTTCTTACTTTAACCTGAGTATGTACAAACATTAATACCTCTGACCAAGTAAAATTTTAATACTTAGAATGAATTACTTAGTTTCAGGGAGACAAAATAAACAAAACTGTAGTACATAGAAGTGAGCAAATGATAATTTTACAGATAAAATAAGGTATTGTTTGAGACAAAATTATCCCTGAAGATGTCTTTATAGTTTTTGAGGTATATATGTATTTAGCCAACTGCTTTAGAACAAGTGACGATCTTCTTTATGTCAGCTGGTCATCATTTAATTCTAGATGGACTCAGCCTGTGTTAACACAAGACCAAGGACAAAAACTGGGGCAATCATCTCAATTGAATAATTCAGATGAGAAATCAGCTTTCTTAGAATACTTGAGAATGTTTTATTAGCTTGATTCATGCAGGCAATTCATCCAAATTTTAATTTTGATTTGCATAAGTAATTTTGTAAAAACCTCCAAAGCCAAAAGTATATATATTTGAAGTAGTTTTAGGTTTCATTCCTTCACCCACTGAAGCTTTTTTTCTTTCTTTTGATTTTATTAAATACTAGTCTAATGTATCAGGATATATGCAAAGAAATTTATGAAAAGAATTTTAAAAAGAGAAAACCCTTAAAACAACAAGTTAAAAATAGTATTTGAAATTTGCTCCCTTTTCAAATTTATGGTGGCCAATAAACATCAATTTCTATCAGCATAAAGCTAACAGCACAGTGTAAAATGTTTTAACCTGGATACCACCTTGGGGTTAGCAGTGCAACTCCCTACGGACTATGTCACTAGAATTCCCTAGTATCGTATCTACTAGTTTTAAAATTGATTAATATTAATTTTATTCCTAGTATTCATCAGCTCTGGCGGCCTAGTGGCAAAAAAGCTGTGCTGCCACTCAGAAGGCATGCGGGTTGAGGCCACCAGCTGCTCTGTGGAAGAAGGATGGGTGGCAATCTCCTTCCGTGAGATTAACAGCCTCTGAAAACCCGCTTGGAGGGTCAGCTATGGGATGGTTATGACTCTATGGTACAGAACAACGACAACAACAATAGTCATCTACTATTCTTTTGCTGTAAACCCTAAATCAAGGTTTAATATAAAATTTTTATTTTCTAAAACCAAACAAGGAGCATACATTGAAATATCATACATTACTATGTTCAAGTTATGATAATAAATATTATGATCTTTTACCTCTAAATCATAAATGCTATAGAGACATGATATTGGGCTCACAATGTAGACTTTGGCATTATAAATTCACCATCAAATACCCTAAATGTCGGTAATTCTTTTCTAATTATCATATTATTTCTGATCTCTACAAATCTAGCACACTTTATATGTAATTTTTTTCAAATTTTGATACTGTATTTTAGCATACTGTTTTTGAAATGTAAAAATGGACTATTAAAAGATGATTTTCAGGAATAGTCCTAATAAGTGTTAATACTGGTACAATATTTAAAATGCATAACAATTCAATCTGTAAAATAGACATGTTTATTAATCTTTGGAAGCAAATGATTAAAAATTATCTTTCTTTGAATAAATTAAAAAGGAGGGAAAAATAGAATCTGCTTACCAGAATAATGAAGGTAACAGGTCCAATGAAACTCCATATAAAATAATTATCAACATGAAGCCAGCAACTATAATAGAAAGAAAAGAACATATTTTAAGTACTTTCAATGGATTCTTAACATCACAAAGATAATAGAATTCTTTATACACGACAAAAGCTATTTGTATATCTGCCTTTGAAAATTCCTTTATCAAGGGCAAGGATAATTCAAATTAATTCTAAGTTGTCTTCAACTTTACACAGGCAGTGATCTATTTACTTCAATCTGTAGTTTCTCATTTTTGGCTTTATATTTGATAAATGCAGAAAAAATATTGGGAAATCAACACTACTCCACTGACAAATTAAGGCTCTAACTTTACCAAGCAAAACTTAAAACTCAATATTCTAAATTGTTTCATCATTTCTTGAATCTCAAAGTTTCCTTTTAGGGCTATGTGTTAGTTAAAGTGGTTAACCCAATGAACCATAACACACAAAATACTTTTATGATGTCATGGTTGTTGCAAAGCAGTATAGTATAAATACAATACCTCAACTGAGTATTAGATTAATGTTTCTGGAAGACTACCAGGAGGATGGGAAAAAAAAAAGAAAATGCACACAACTCCCACAGTATCAGGGTAAATGATGCATCAACTTATTAGGACGGATTTTACTAAGTGGTTCATTCTTCACATAACATTGAATCCCCACTGAATTTCTTTTATTTGTCTTTCATCATCTGAACAGTCAAAAAGCCTTTCTTTAGTCCAAAGAATCTTTATATAACTAATTTTATCAAAGGAAAAAATAAACAGCATTGGAAGGCAAATTCATGCCTCTAGCAAATCAAATCCTTAGAAACATGCTATGTCTACCTTCTGTCACTTTCCATAAATATCTATATTTCTACTAATGAAAGACACTGACTTATTTTAATCCTTTCAAACTGCCTGATAAAATATTATCAAAGTAAAACATATGGGTTGGAATGTGCTACTGTCACAATTCAGAATAAGAGTTAGCTAGAGGGTTGGCTGCACAAAGAGAGCTAATGAAGCATTAGCTTAAAAATTGAATAGTTAAACCTGTCAGATGCTTTAAGTTCAGAAGAAATTTTACTTAATATCTTTCTAAGACCAGAAAGTTATTTACTTTTTCAATTTGTTTCAGGTCAATCTTTTGTGTTAAAAAGAAAGTCCATAATTTAGAATCTGCCTCACTAGAGTACAAATCCTCTGAACCTAGAAAATTACAAAAGACTTGATTGTAATTTGTGCACCGCATGCCCATTCTCTTACCAATAAAGCTTTCAGATGCTATTTTAGTCTGTCAGGGGCCCTCACTGACAGCTAACAGGCTTTAAAAAATTATTCACTTGAAAAACACTCAGGTCGCTTGCTATTACTTACGCTTTTTCTGTTCCATAGCTCTTATAGTCAATAGCTGCTGAAACGCCAACGACTGTGGCTGGAAACAAGTAACCAGCAACATAGTAATATTTCTTCCTTGAATATTCACTTTCGAAAACTTCAACTAACATGAGGTACAGCTGCACACCTTCTAAGCACATCCAAGCAAAAGCCGCCAAAAAGAAAAAGTGTAAAAGTCCTGCAAATATTGGGCATGCAATCTACAAAAGGGAAGAATAGAAAATGCATAAAGGCAATCATTTCAGTCGGAACCTGCCCAACATTTGTCAAGAGTAGCCACTATTTTCTTTACAGTGCCTGATGATATACATTATTATTTCTTAAAGATATTTTCCCATAAATTATTAAACAATAAAAAGTTGTGCATAAAGCTCACAAGAATAGCATGTCAGCTGTGTTAGAAGTTCATTACTAAAAGACATTATTATTTCATACTGAAATCTCTAATAAAACATTTTAAAATTTACTTCTTGAATTATCCATGACAAAAACATAAATACTTTTGTATATAATATGAAGAAAAGCTCTTTATAAATCATTTGATTCTCACTTTTTTCTATGACTGAATTTTTGAAAATTGCATCCATAACAAATACCTTTGGGCTAATTACCCAGAATTCTTTTCCTGACATGCCTATAGCATCCATAAATGCATGCCATTTCTTATGAATATAAAGTGAAATATTATCTAATCAGTAAATTCTGTTTTCTGACATTTAAACTTTATAATAAGTAAATTTTCCTGAACATGCAGATAAGATCATTAGTCAGAAGGTGTGTAAAAAAACACAATTTATTTTTACTTCAACTATATCTTTTAAAATATTCTCAGAGCTTTATTACTTCCCTTAATAAGAGAGCAGAAAAATACAATTGTATCTTAATATACGAAATTAATAGTCAGTCTCGGGTATAGTATTTTTAACTTAAAATAGTATTACTAAATGGGCATCCTTTAATTTATTAAAATCTGTTCTCTCCGCAATGTACCACTTTTGTCACACAACAGAGTCAGAGATTAACATCAACATCATGTATGGATGCACATCTGTTATAATCATTTTCAGAGATACAAGGCCAACAGGGTAAAGGAAGCTTACCATGTATTTTGTCTTATCAATGCCGACTAAGAAAATAAATTCAGCAATGAAAAGGTTGATACAGAGGTTCTTGTGAATAGTGTTTCGGTCACTCTGTAGACCACGGAAAAAGCAGAAAGTGAAGATGCAGATAGCCAGGCAAACAAGGGAAATGACAATTCCCACCCAGGTGATGACGGTAAGAAGTAATTCATGAACTCCATCTTTGTACTTTAGGGGAAGAAAAAAAAAAAAGAACAACATTACTATTCCTGCATCATATCAAGGGAAGAAAGTTAGCTTTCATCATTAACACTGAACTTCTTTAAATAATCCAAGTATGCCATTAAGTATGTCTTTAAATTGAATCTGTAGGTAAGTCAGAAGAGGTGGACATTGTTTTTTCCTATCTTTACTTTTAGTATAAGAAAAGGTGTGGTCTTTTCAATGACTTAAAAGCTGCACGTGCAGTGAGTGGGGGATTACGAAGAAGAATTTGTTAAAACAAACACTGAGTCAATAAGTAAAGGCAAATTTACATAATAAAAAGGATTCAACACTGTCTGTAACCCAAGTTCAAGTAAGGCTCAATGTAAAAAATTTCTCATCCTATTTTAAGAGTACACTATTATCTTATTGGGAATCCTAAGAATGACCTATGAAAATGATATTAAGTTAGAAAATAATACAAGAGCCTAATTATTTAAAAACTGATGACTGAAATAATTATTTATATAAACACAGAGTAAGTATATGTCAAGTGTGGTGTTACAGGTTTAATGTTCAAAATGGCTTTCCTAGTCATTGACTGTGCCATGTGGATGGACAGGAATATACAAATAGGTAATGTTAGGTTTTCCACATTGGAATTGACTAGTCTTGCCATTGAGTAGACAGATTAATCATCAAATTTTGAGAATCTCCCCACCAGCAAAGAAGCAGCAGAGAATGCAGTGTGCTTGTTGGGGCCAGAGATTCTTGGGCCAGTGAGACCAACAGGAGGGCAGCAGTAACCACAGCAGAGAACCAGAGACCTGACATGAGACAGAGTTGCGCTTGGGACTGCTACCACACAGAACCAGGGCTAGTAGCTTTCTGCAAAGTTTACTGGAGGACTGCGGTAAGATACCATAATTGGCAGGACTAAGAACTTTGTAACACAGGTCTGAAGCCATAAGGCTGAGGCTGAAGGGCCTGTGAGCATGCTTCAGAAGATGCCCTGACTGAGAAATTTTATCCTGCTACATACTAACCTGAATGATAGCCTTTCAACTTACTCAATAAACCTCATAATCGTCTACAAATTACTGTAAAGGATACTGGACCCAGTAAAGCAGAAAGACCGGTGTTGGAATTAATAGAAAGAGGTGCAGGAGCATGGGGACATGTTTAACCTCACAGGAATTGGTTTTGTGTTGTGGATGTTGAGGAAGACAGTTTCCCCCTTGTGGAGTTAGCATAGGTCAGATATGGCCATTCCACAGGGGTACTTTGCTCATATTACAACAGATCAATTATTATTACTTAGTTATGCTTTAAAAGTTTCATTTTATTAATTTTGCAGATCAACAATTTTTTACTTCTCTACGTTTTTTGCTTTATTTTATCTCTCTACTAAGAACTCAATTCACAATGTATTTTAGAGTATTCCTGATTTATTTCTTGGAAGATACTTATAGACTGTCTTAAAGCCTCTTAATCATTGAAAGTAATATAAGAAATATTCAAAATAGACAATCTGATTTTTCAAAATTGACAACAATTAGTTAGCATGTAAAGTTAGTATGTTATATGTAAAGTTACAGACACTAGGCATTAGGAACCTTCAAAGTCATACAGTAAAACAGGATTTGCACACTAAAGATGGGAGTATGCAAAACTTTGGATCATCTCTCCCTTTTGTATAAAGTACTAGTTTCCTTTTTTTCCCCCTGACTACCTTCTACACACGTGTCCAAAAAAGAAAAAAGCATGTAAAGTGATATTCAGATCACATGGGTTTGAAAAGTAATATATTTCATGACAATACTTCTGAAAATAAATAGACAATGTAGAAATTCACATACATTTGCTCCTTAAGTTACAATAAAAACCCAAAGGGGGAAAAAAAAGAACCCAAAGAAGGAACTATTACACAAGCAGTACTAAATCCTCTGAGGTTTTTCTCCGACTAATTACAGTGCAAATACTTACTGCAATTTCCCTGTGGGCCATGAGAATTGCAAAATTGGTTAGGTGGCTGCATGCACACGTTGTACGAGTTTTATTAGTGTCAACCAGCTTGCAGCCCTGGGTAGACCAATATCCCATCATAGTTCTCTCTGAGTAGTTCCAGAAGGAGCAGTTTGCATTGAAATAATTGTCAGGCTGGGAAATAAAATGACAAGATAAAATTAGGATTCTACACTCTAAGATGGCTATAGCAATTGTTTAATATGTGTAAAAGGTGATTTAGATTAAACTTTGCATGTTTCGGACTATAAAGTTTTTCATCAGCAAAATTGTGGACTATATTATACAGGGCAGACATGTAGTTTAAAAGGGGCTTTATAGTCCGAAAAACTCTAAAGTGTACTTTGAATTGCTGAAATTCATTTACACAATTACAATTTCTGTCTTACGATTTTACACACTGATGGTATGTTAGAATCACTTTTCTTTTTCCTTTAAGAAGATGTTAGAAGCACGAATTTGTGAGGAGGAGATTCTTTAAGGACCAAATGTTTTAAACCCTATTTTCAGTCTTGGTCCCTTTCTGAATACAATAGTCAGTACTGTAGGACTCTTAAAACAGTAAATCATTTGGTTTAAGAGAATAGCTACATAAATTTATTATTCTTGCCAATTCTAGAAATCCACTTTGCTATCAGAGGGTACTTATGTACTCATAACAGTAACTGAAAATTCTGCAGAGAAATCTGTCAGCACAATGAAATAATTTAACTAGTATTCTAACAGAATAAGGATCCCAAACCTTTAAACATAATGGTTGATAACAATTTCATCAACTGGGATCAGTAATAATAGTTTGCCCTGCTAAAGAGTGTCTTAAGAGTTAATATTTAGTTATCCTGCTGCTAACCTAAGAGTTAATTTTCACTCTGAAACAAATTAGAGTCATTTACATTTTCATGTTGATTACTGAATTAGCTTTCATTAAGAATACACTTAAGTTCTAATAATCACTGAACCAAGCTCATTTAATTTTATGTTCACAGACTTAAATAAACTTGTGTCTCTGACCTAGTCCAACATTCAAAATTCAAATAGAAAGGTCTTTCCTTTCCTCTTCCCTATTTCCCCTTCCCTCCCTTTTCCCATCCCCGGCATGTCAATTTTGCTTTCTTTCCTCATTACTTTTCTAACGTTCCCATTAATTCACTAGCATACATAACTTACGTCAATGTGTGGTAGGGTAAAAAGCACAGGATCAGTCAAGTATACTCGGCTGGACTCTTTATTGATTGAAACAGAAATGACATGAGAATTCACAGCAATAGTACTATTACGACCGATAAAGTCACCACCTAGTTTTATTGTTGCATTTTCTGTACTAAGGAACTGTCCCAGGCTCCGGTAAATGATGAACACCAATTTTGCAAGTCCTAGAATAAAAGGAAATAGTTGTATGATTTAACAGGAGACATGCTTATTCATCAAATTGGGGGAGAAAGATGGGGGCAAAAAATCTATACAGCATCTTTATTTAGATTAAGTATACTGAAGAAAAAACAAGTATTATTTTAACTAGCTTAAACATTACAGGATTTTTAGTCTATAAAGAATAATATAATCAACGTTTAACAATTAACAGGTTTAAATGGAAAAAAAACCCAAACAACAAACAAAGCCTTGTCAATGTTTAAAAGCTTGTTTTTCATCCTACCATTCCTGCTGTTCTGCTTCACAGTATTTGCAGAAAGTTGGATTGAGCTGCCTGCTCCTTTGATTCCCAAAGGAAATTTAAAGTCTTGGACTTGCCCTTCTGTGCTCAGAACTGCAACTTCTAGAACTAGAATACACAAAATAATAGAAAGAAAAACAATTAAAATAAAAGAAGCCAAATAATAATTGCAGAAAAGATGCTGTGTGTTTTTTATTTTTGTTTTATAGGTGGTTATTTGCAAAACTTTACAGTTATATTTTAATATTAGAAATGGAAAACAGAATTACTGCAGAACGCCCTAAACCTTAGCACCTCTAAAAAGAGTTTATAATCATTGTAACATTTTTCCCATTTTAATTTTTATGTTATAAACTAAAAGCCTTTTGCAATCTCACTGGAAAGTCATCTATGCGTTGATTCTGACTACACAGCAATGATTTGCAAAAGTATTATTGCTCCTCCTGGAGTTAACTATACTGTTGTTATGTACCATGGAGTTGGAACTGACTTGTAGTTGACCCTATAGTGGGTTTCCAGAGGCAATGAACTACATGGGAAAAGATTGCCCATCTTTCTCACATGGAACCATTTGGTAAATCAGAACCATAAGTCTGTGAGTTAGCAGCACAACTGCTTACCACTAAGCCACCTGAGAATCATTTTATCTGTAAAATGAAATAATTAAAAAAAAAAACCTCTTCAAAACTTTCACAAACAATAAAAATACATAGGTATGAGGTTGGAAATGGCTTATAGCTGACCCTCTAGCAGGTATTTGGAGACTAGAAATCACATAGGTTTGTCCATCTTTATGTGTAGAGACACTGGTGGATTTCAAATGTCAGAGAAGCACCATCCAATTTAAGTTAACAGCACAACTTCCTATGGGTTAGAAGATCTCTTAAAGAGGAACATGTACTTTTAATAATTCCATCTAGATATTCATTCGGGAAGCTGGGCTTTATGAGGAGGAGTGTGGCATCAGGATTAGAGGAAGACTCATCAACAACCTGCGTTACGCAGATGACAAAGCCTTGCTTGCTAAAACTGCGGAGGACCTGAAGAATTGACAGCAGAAAAGGTCAAGGACCATAGTCTTCAATACGGACTGAAGCTCAACATCAAGAAGACAAAGATTCTGACCACTAGGACTACTGGCAGCACCATTATTAACAAGTGCAGCTTGTTTGACTCCACAATCAACACTTTTGGCACCAGCATCAGGAAATCAAAAGGCAAATTGCACTGGGGAAATCTGCTGTCAGGGACCTCTCCAGGGTACTGAGAAGCAAAAATATCAGTCTAGAGACTAAGGTGCGCATAATCCAGGCTATGGTCTTCACAATTACTTGCTATGTATAAAAGAGCTGGACGATGACTAAGGATGACAGAAGAATTGATGCCTTTGAGGAGTGGTGCTGGAGAAGAGGCTTGACTATGCCACGGACCTCCAAGAAAACAAATAGGTTTGCCTTGGAGAGGGAGTAACCAAGTTTCATCTAGGAGGCTAGGATTTTGAAGCTGTCTCACATACTCTGGGCATTGTGGCCAGGAGACACTGGTCCTTAGAAAAAGACATATGCTCAGAAGGGGGGAGGGACAGCGCAGGAGAGGAAAACCAAGATGAGATGGATTGATCTAGTCACTGGGAAAATGGAAGTAGGTGTGTCGGAGTCAGAAAGACTGGCATAGGGCAGGGTTCAGAGCTGTTCAGAGCTGTTCTATAGTGTTGCTATGAGTTGCTGGTGACAAGACAGCACATAACAACAACAAAGACAAAGTCTTGCATCACTATTTTAATATTTACACAAATACATATATCTCCTTATGTTTTAAAAGACTCATTCTTACCACATATACAAATACAGCTCATGTTGAACTCACCCTCTGTTTTCCTTTTACAAAAATGGTGTTGTAGTGTTATAGTATAATTTTGGATCCTTTTTTATATATTATTCTGCACAACTTAGTTTTGTTAAATGCACAGAGACTGTAAATATGAGAAACACTGCATATGGAGAAGATCTGTAATGAGCTATTCCCAAATCCACCTCCTCCACAGATAAAGTCAGTTCTGACTAAGCCTGACACTCCATTAGGTTTCTGAGACTGGAAATGTTTACGGGAGAAGACTACTTATCTTTTCAGTTCTAAGTGGCTGGTAGAGTTGAACTGCAATCTTTCACTTTAATCTGATATTGTGTACCAAGCTACTAAGCCTCATAGTATAAGTTTTGGGGGTTTTTACCTCCAAAGTTCAAGTCATGTGGTTGAGGTGGAACCTAGGGATCCGTAGTAGCTTAATCAGAATGAGCTGCACTACCAACCAAAAGACATGCAGTTTGAATCCACCTGCCTGCTCTGTGGTGGAAAAGAAGGGCAATCTCCCCTCACGTAATTTGCTTCGTCTAAAAACCCACTAGAGGGTTAGCTATGAGTTAGGGCCAACTCAATGGTACATATATAGCTGATCCTTCAACAGACTTTGAAAAGGCAGCAAGTTAGAAGAATATATTCCTCTTTTTATTTTGGAGCCAGGAGGGGATTCAAACTACCAGAGAGGGGCTGCTTTGGGTTGGCAGTGCAAGTCTTACAACAGCACTTAAGTAATTTCTTTTATATGCAATCTCAAAGGCATGTGGTTCAGTTCGAATTAACCAGCTGCTCCATGACAGAAGGATTGGCAATTTCCTCCCATGCAATTTACTGCCTCTGAAAACCCACTGAAGGGTCAGCTATGAGTCATCTCCCACTTCCTGGTACATCACATACAAGTTATTAAAATCAAATCACTGCTGTGCAGTCAGAATCAACTCTAAGCTGATCTTGCTTCAGGTTTTTGAAAGGCTATAAAGAGGAGAATGCCTTTCTATCTCCCATGGGTTAGCAGTGCAATCCCCTGTCCACTAGGCCATCAAAGATCCATTAACAAGGTATTGAACTCCCTGAAGTCCAGGTTTATAGTAAGAATCATATCAGCTACTATGTCTGACTATGATCTTCACTTTACTGATACATATACAGAAAAATTCACCAAGTGGGTCAGTTCTTCTCATACTAGATTTCACAGGTGTGGATAAGTCAGAAAGGGAGAAGAATGACAAAAACATGTACCTAATATATGTCACTTTCTTGCTCATAGTGAATTCTCAATTACAGCTAATTTTAAAACAAAGAAGAAAATGCAATGGATAAATTAAGAAAACCCACTGAGTTTTCACATAAGGTCTCAAACACAGATGTTGTTTTTGTTATGTGCCATTGAATCGCTTGTGACTCATAGCGACCCTACGTACAAGAGCCCGAAATGCCGTTCTATCCTGTGCCAACCTCGCCGTCTCAGACACAGAATGGATCCATCTCATCGAGGGTCTTCTTCTCCTGCACTGTCCCCCCACTCTCCCAAACATGATGGCCTTCTCCAAGGGCCAGTCTGTCCTTGAAACATGCCCAAAATATGTCAGATGAAGCTTCAGAATCCTTGACTCCAAGGAGCACTATGGCTTCACCCTCTCCGGGACAAACCCATTTGTTGTCCTAGCAGTCCATGGTATATTCAACACTCTTCTCCAGCACCACAGCTCAAAGGCATCATCAATTCTCTTTCTATCAACCCTATTCACTGTCCAACTCTCTGATGCCTAGCACGTGATTGCAAAGACTATAGCCCGGATCAGGCACACCTTAGTCTCCAGCCTGACATCGTTGCTCTTCAGTACTCTTGAGCGGTCTCTCACAGGTGACTTTCCCAATGCAATTCATCTCCTGATTTCCTGGCTGCTGTTACCAAGAGTGTTGATTGTGGAACCAAGTAAACTAAAACTGTTAACTATCTCAATCTCTTCACCATCCATACTGATGCTGCCAATTGGCACAGTGGTGAGAATCTTTTGTTTTCTTGATGTTGAGCTTCAAACCATACTGAAGACTGCAGTCCTTGACCTTCTGCAGCAAGCGCTTCAGATCCTCCTCAGTTTCAGCAAGCAGGGTTGTGTCATCCGCATACTATAGATTGTTGATGATTCTTCCACCAAACCTGGTGCCACATTCCTCCTCGTACAGCCCAGCATCTCATAAACAATTTTATTCCATAAATATTTTATTCCTCTCATCTTAATTTCACTCAACACATTTACTGATTAGCATTTGAAAAAATATATGCAGAATGAAAAAAATATAATGTGTAAATTTTGAAAAATAACAGGGTCAAGACTAGAGATTTTTCAGGGCTTCTGATGTGAGTAAATTGGCTAAAGTGAAAAGAGAAATTTTGACCATGATGGCGCATATATGAATATATGGCAAGATTCATTAAACTGTACGTTTAAAACAGGCACCTTTATTTTGTGTGTGTGTGTGTGTGTGTGTGTGTGTGTGTGTGTGTGTATTACACCTCAAAGTTAATTCTTAAATAAACCATAATGAGACATAATTGCACTAGATGTAAGTATGCCATTGTATAAGGTCATTTATTTTAAGAGCAAGTCATAGCACAAAGTTAAAGGATTCAAGGAAATATCTCCAGGAAAGAACATAAATTTTTTTTAATAACCTCATATGTTGTAGTCATACCCTAAATTTAAACAAGAGCTTTAAAAGGGGGGAGACAAGAGAAGAGATAATGGGCTATTTTAGTTTTTACATCTGAAAGAGTACAAGTCTTAGAAAAAAACTGCTGAATGTTTAACTCTTGTAAAATAATGGATAATTACTTTCACAAAATCATTATATGACAAGAAATTAAAAAAATAAAGTGCTGGTGGCCTAGTGGCAAGAAGCTGCATCGCAATCAGGAAACCACATGGTTTGGATCCCCACACTGCTCCGCAGGAGAAGGATGCGCAATCTCCTCCCAAGCAATTAACTAACTGCCTCTAAAAACCTGTCAGAGGCTCTGCAATAGGTCAGTACTGATTCGCTGGTACACCACCATCACCACAACATATTTGATTATATAAAAACGTAAAAATAAAAAGGTAATCCTGGAATAATCAATATATACATAAATTAGGTTTATGGCATATTCCTGAAAAATTAGTTGCTATGTTCAGTTGAGTTGGAACAGACCCAAAACTGACTCTCTGGCAGGTTTTCAGAGACCGTAAATTACATGGAGGAGACTGTCCATCCTCCCACAGAGCAGGTGGTAGATTTGAACTGCATGCCTTTGGGATTGCACCACAGTTTCCTACCACTAGGAAACTCATTAAAACATATATTCTAGAAGAATCTCTCTGCCCATAATGTCTCAACATGAAGAATAATCCTTTAGAACTCTCAATGATAACAAACATTTTTTAGGAATACATTCTAGTTCTACTTCTCTTATTGAGATAAAAGTATCTCAAATTTATAATAAAATTGTTCTGCATATATGAGGCTAACAAGTGTACACAGAATGCCATCTAGGTGAGTGTGGGGGACGAGCAGAATAAGTTTTGATTCTATGATTTCTGTTGTTGCTTTGTTTCTGTTTTTCTAAAATCTTTAATGTCAGAAACGTATGAGAAGTGTTGTTTAATGCAAATCTTGGGAGATTTTTAAAGAACAGTATCTAAATTAGAGAGTTCTGGTGGCATAGTCCATTGGGATTTGTGCTGCTAATCCAAGTCTGAGCCTATCAAGCTGTTCAAATCCATGAGCAGTATCTTGAGAAGACGTTGGACCATTCCCTCTTGCCATGTGATTTACAACCTCAGAAAATCCACTGGCTGGACGGTCAACTATAAAACAGTTTCAACTAAACAGCAAATGAATGTGAGTTTTTGAAGGAAAGTTTACTCAATTTGTGTTAAGCTATAATAAAATATTATTTTCTTTGTGACTGTTTCCGGATTGTGGAGCTTATCTTTCAATATGGCTTTTACTAGCCACTGAACTCAACTCTGCCATGTGGATGGGCGGGACCATGCAAATAGGGCATGGCAAGGGGACTGGCAATTTCACCATTCCACAAAAGGACTGACCAGTCTCACCAATAAATTGAGCAAATCCAGCAGCAGAATTAGACATCTGCCACCAGGGAAGAAGAAGAAGAAAAAGAAGGAAGACAATGTAGGACTGCTTCAGCACCAGATTCTTGCTCCAGCTACATCTCCGGCCGCAGCAGCCATAACCGAAGCAGAGGACCAGCGAAAGCTGACATAAAATGGGGCTGGCAGCTACCCTTCCACGGACAGAACCAGAACTAATCTAAGCCTTTGACCAAGTTTGTTGGACAATTTGGGGCAGGGAGGAGCCAATACTGGTAGGACTGAGAACTTTGTAACACTGGTCTAAAGCCATGAGGTTCAAGGCTTAGGTGCCTGTGTGCAAATTTCAGAAGCTGTCCTGACTGTATTCTGCTACTAATCTGGATTATAACCTTTTGTTTGACTTCCCCAACATGGTTCTGTGTGGTCTGTGAGCTCTTGCATCAGAGTTTCAACTCAGCAAAGCAGAAAGATTGGTACCAAAATGAGTAGAAAGAGGGAAGGGAGCGTGGGAAACATGTCCAACCCAACCACATTGGAATTGGTTACTGAGAGTTGATGGGGACTACTTCCCTTTGAGAATTTGGTACAGGTCAGATATGGCTGTTGTCATATGGCCCCTGCTCTTTTTACACAGATCATGATGGTACAAATGATTCTCACTTTATTTGCTCTAAAATTACGAACTGATTTATCATTTTGCAAAACTCATAGCAAAGAAACAAATCACGTTAATGACAATTCCACTTTAAGAAATTCAATTATTTAAAGTAAGTGTCAGGTTAAAATTTAGATCAAAATATAGACCATGATTTCATTAATATTTAATTTGTATACTGTTTTGTTTTTTATAACAAGTCTCATGCTATGCAGGCATAATTAGGTTGTAAATTACGGCCTCTACGTAGCTAGTCTTTATTCTCTGCTAGTAAAGACACTCTTTCACTGTTCCTTCAACCTCAGCACCCCACGTCCCCATCACAATACTTGTTTGGAAGCCTTAATACTGTTACTGTAGATGTCATCTGAATTCAGCATCACTGAAAAGGAACAATTCTAAAGGACTCAAGCCTAAATTAAGGTACTTCCACTATATTTATTTCACATATTTTCAAAAGCAAATCTCTAGCTCTCAGAGGCAGTACTTAAATTGTTAATTATGCTTCAAAACTATCTGCTGCTATTTTGCAATCTATGAAGCATGGACATACTGCATTAAGGGAGATGTAGTTCACTGACCACATTTTCACCTGAAGGCAGTTATGTTTAATATAAACATTTAGCTCATGTTCTGTGTGGCTAAAATATTTGACTTTGAGTACATATTCCAGAAAGTAATTTAAATTCATTAGAAACATATTATATAAAATAGAAAAGCACTTGCTGCAGCTCCTTAGCAAGCACTTTCATTACTTAAGCAATCCATATTCTGGCATTTAAGTCCTCTTACACATTTTTTCTCTTTAATGATTTTCAAAGTGAAAGAAAAAAAATAATACAGAAAAACAACTTTTTAAAGATATATGACAGCTTTTTAACCTCTGCACTAATTTGGCCAGGTGAGATTAAGACTTATTCTCTTGCTAACAACAAATACTTTGATGAAAGCTTAGCACTGGAAAATATTTCAGCAGTCTTAATGGAAACACCTTTCTTTTAAATATCTACCTTCTAAATAAAAATAAAATTTGACAACAGAGTAACTTACCAATATTTTCTGTGGGCATTGAAACTCTTGTTGGTTCCAAGAGATTGTCAGCCAAGACAAACGCTCCTTCTTCCAAGGTGTCGAGTAGCATTGTTGCAGTGTGCGCTTGTTCAGACGAATTCATGTGTTTCCATGATTCCAAAGCTTCCGGTCTCAGAAGGTTGTCCACTGTATCAACAATTGCCTGCATCCATCAGAAAACTGTCATTAGTTTGCTTTTTCCTCTCATTTTCTGCTGATAGCATGCTCTACAATCTGGTTTTACCCTGTCTTTCCAGGGGTCCTTTCTCCCTCCTCCCTCCACCTTCCTTTTCACCTCTTTTGCATGGCCCACCTTGCACTAGTTATGCCTCTGTCTTATTGTCTTCATAAACAGTTTTTACTTGTAAAAATAAAAGAGAAAGAGAGAGAGCGTGCACACGCCGGAACTATCATTAGTTTCAAGCTTCTAGCACCAGGATTATTTTCAACCACTGAGCGTTAACAATTTTAATATTTAACTGTTGAGATGATCTCAAGATGCCAGAAAAAGCCTGGTTAACAGGTATCAGGTTAATTTAACAATATACTTTAGCATTTTGAATTAGGACTAACTGATCATTACCAGACCTGATTGCAAAATTAAGTATTAAAAAGAAGACTTTGTTTATCTAATTACACTTTAATCATCAAAGAGAAATGCAACTGTCATTGTCAGCTCTTTACCTGAGGCATTACTACTGAATGTATTATTGTTACACTACTAACTTCACTTTATAACCTAAGATGTGAATGTTGTAAATAAAAATTACGGGTACCTTTGGAGTAGCCTAATTTTTACCCACAAAAATAACCCACATTGCTTTTCAGTACCTGAGGCATTATAGTCACTAATAATCTGTCTTAAAGATTTGGTCTTACTGGTCTTATTTGCTACTTATTGGCCCACCTAGGGGTTTCCTGAAGGTAGTTTTGAAATTCCCACTTATCTGTGAAAATTTTAACTCTTTTAATTTTCCGTACAGTTAAAATATATTTTGCCTTAATTCACAAATTGTTTTGAAAAGAAAAACAGAGCAATCAAAATACTAAAAAAAATCCACATTAACAAGTTCCCTTTTCTAAAAAGGCACAATAAATTAGTTTTCATAAATATTCACCTTGCAAATATTTACCATGTAGGTTTAACTTCTTTGCAGAACAACATTAATAAAAACCATTACCCAGTCAGCCATACTGATAAGTTAATCAACTGAAGGCAGGCTCCTTACCCTGTTGCTCACAGCTGTGCAATAAGTATGCCTTGTATAGCTGAAAAATCACTGAACTCACTCCTCCTCATTAACCTAGTCATAATGTGTTATTGAGCACATATGTAAATGGTTTGAGTTACTGGCAATCACTGACAAAAAAAAAAGGAGTATACATACTACAAAGAACAAAAATTGCTAAATTGGAGTATTAAACTAAGGGGGGTGGTGCTAAAGGGTACTGCCATAGTAAGATTAATTAGTCTAATCCATCTTAATATCCTGGTTCTGTCCGCCTTGTGAGCCACCATGACCTCACTGACAGGTGGACGATACTTGCAAGTCATGTGAGAAACTCCCCTTCTCACTCCCTGCTCTCATACCTCTCCTAGAGGAGACAAAATAGAATGCTCACACAGGTATTTCTGCAGCTTTCAACTAGAGTGTAACAGAAATTGGTCTGCAGTTACCAAAAAATACAGACTAAGTTACACATGAATCCACTGTCTCTTAAGTGAGAACTTGCTTCATTTGCATAGTGTAAGTCAGCTTCTGATTTGTAATTTAAGATGTTTTATTAGTCTTATATGAACAGAGAAGCTCATTTGAGACAAACTGAAAATGACACTGGTCAAAAATTAAGGTCATGCTGAAATTTACTATGTACACACATAATTCAAACTACTCTTTATTACCACTTGAATATTTTGTAGAAGGACCAAAACAATCATTAGCCAAATCATATTCCTTAAGTAGTCTTCCCTACCAAATTAAAAGGAAACGGAGAAAAAAGGTTATTCCCTCTCCACTAAAACATACGTCTTGAAAAACATACCAATACTGCATTTCACATATTAGCTACTACTTCAAAGGTGAAATGTAAATTTATATAAGAGAAACGCTCTACTATACACTTCAGCATTTATTTCTCTGCCACTATTAAAAAGTCTAAAAATGGACTTAGAAAAGGATGACCTCAAAATAGACTTCCCTACACCCTTTTCTCCGGTCCAATAATGTCTATTATTAATAGGCAAGATGATAATCATCTTTACTTTCTTGTAGACTTAGAAAAAAAAATTAGTGAAGTCATAGATTTTGTATAGCCTTTTTTCCTATGACTCTACTAAACAATCTCTGTTATGCTATCATATGTGCACAGAGTAGTTCAAGGTTAGATTTAGCATGAATATGGATAGAAAAAAACTATCACTCTAAAATGAACTTCTAAAATTCACAAAGAAACTTCTAAAATTCACAGAACAAAACAGAATGCAAGCTGGTATTAGTGTTTTGATCTATCATGAAGAACCAGCAGGGCATAAAGCCGCTGTATCCTATTAGTTGAATATATCAGTCAGAAAAACTGGCTGGAGTGGACAAGGAGCCTGAGTCAAATGGTGCTTTCTGTTCCTATTAGCCTGATTTTTTCAAAAAAAGACCACATAACACAGACTGTTACCACTGTCACATTATTTATATTTTCTCTCTTGTAAACCATCCCCATATCAACCTGATCCTTGAAAAGACTCCTACAAATTTTAGGACAAAGTCTATTTTATTGAAGAGCACACCACAGAGATAAGAAAGCAGTGGCTTTTTTCATGCACATACATTATGACTATACAGTCTTTGATATGATAAACTGCCAAGAATATATCATAGCTGTTTCACTCAAGGTTTTTTTTTTTCTTTCCCCCAATCCACAGAGATGACAAGAGGAAACAAAGGGACTCTATGATGATGTTCCAATTCAGAAACTATTCCATTAAAATTCTTGTACTTTTGAATGAATAGAAAAATGGCAAAAAATTGTAAATATAAATTATTTGCTTATTCTGAGAGTATTATACCTGTGAAAAGTCAACATTTGTACAGCTGATATGGGGCACATTATATAATTATCAAAGACTGAAATACATTGGGTCATGCAGCAAGATGATAAAGCGTGGCAGGTAGCTGAAGAAGGGAGAAAGCAGGGTGACAGCACGGGAGAGATACCTTAAGGTAAGCCCTGCATGTCTTCTCTCGTTTTTGGAGCTTTTTAGTAAAAGAAAAGAAAATCAGAGGTTAGATTTCATTTGCTGAAAATAGGGGAGGGGCAAGTCCTCAAAAATTAAGCTGGCATTCCTAGCCCAAGTTTACTGTGTAAAGTCCTCTGGATTTCTGAGCATCTAAATCAAACTAATCAGGAAGCTCCAGCAGCACAGTGGTTATGAAGCTGTGCTGCAATCCCAGACACATGAGGTTAGAATCCACCAACTGCTCTGTGGGAGAAGTCTCGGTCATCTCTGCTGGGGTGATTACACTGCCTCTGAAAACCCTCTAGTGTGTCAGCCAGGAGTCAAGCTGTGACTTGAGCACACAACAACAATCTGACTGCCAAAAGTGCTCTTTTATAAGCCAATACTTTCGAAATATAGTTTATCTATTTTTCTAACTTTAATAAAAGTAGAGACAAATTTAACACTGTGGCTTTTAAATATTCATTTTTCACTCTACAGAACTATATTCGTTGACAGAGTACAGACTCATACAAGACTGACTAAATACCTAATGGTCAAGGTTTTTGTTGCAGGATGGAAAGTGTAACACTGCTAAAATATATACATAGAAGGTAAAACTCCTATTAAAAGTAGGATGGATCTTAGTGATTAATTATTCTTTAGATAGGTCACAATTTTGGTGCAGTTATAACGAGTTAATAGAAAGAACATCAGTTGTGTACAGCAAAGTCTACCAAGTGTAGGTACACATTGTAGAATGGACACGTCCACTACAATCAACCCTTTGAAGTTGGCCACCTATTGAATTCTTTCTCAAGTTTAGAACTAATATTATTTACCCTTTTAAAAAAAAAAGTGCCAGTCTTTCTTGAGAAAGGAACCAAATCAGAAGTTGTACAAGGGGGTCAGGAGTATGGCAGTCAGTTGCTAGGAGGATGAAAGCTGCCACAGAAAACTATCTAATGGTAACAAGTACAAGATTTCTACTTACCTTGTTATAACTCCGTCCTGCTGAATCCTTTTCACTAGGTTTCAGTTCCTGCAGCTGTGCATCAAGAATGTCCACCAACTGCTCCATTAACCTCACTGAAGAACTCACATCCCCAGCAAACACTGGCCCTTTGGTATGTTTAGCCAATTCATTGGCTAGACTAGCAGCATTTTCCCCACTTCTGATCTGAAATGACAAATATGTATCGCAGTAAGATATCTTGTTCTGTTTGTGGCTTCTAGAGCTTCTTTTTAAGTACCTTTGTTGTGGTGAAAAAAATGCAAATATGTCAAATCTGCAACTAATTGAGACCAATAACTTTCTCTTCATCTCAGAAGATTAAAGCTCCTCAGATCCTCAACACAGAAAAGGAATTCTTAGCAGACATTTAAAAGAAACAAAAAGAAAAAAAAAACACAAAAGAAAAACAAATCTTTTAAAATATTTTTCAGCCAGTTCTCTCATCTCATACCAATTATTTTTAAACATCTATTTAAAAATCTATTTATTTATTTCAAAGATCCAGAATTAATCAGTATGATACTGACATTTACCAAGTACTTGCATTTTGGAAAGGTAGATGAGAGGGGGGAAAATTAAAGAGTAGTATATTGCATTACACAATAAAGGTACTGATGTCTTTTAAAGTCATTGTTTCTTATTATATCTTAATCATCTGTGATATAAACATCTGCTTGCATTCTGTGGATTCAGTTACAAACATAATGGTATTTGATTTATTAGGCCAATGCACGATTTGTTTTATGAACATCAAAAGAACAGAACAAACTAAGTATGAATGAAATTAAGCAAGCATGTACTCATTAAAAAGCTTAACATAGAAAAAGCATACCCTAAAACATATGTAGGCTTAACTTTCAATAAATACTTTACAGACAAAGCTATGCATAATTTTTTACTTTTATACTGAACAAAGAACAATGAAGCTGGCTTTTACATACAAAGATAAATTATTTACGTTAGACATTAAAGCCCTTAATCACCAATGTGCATCATATTAAAAAGTTCCAACCAACCTTCTGAGCCAGCTGATTCACCCAGTGTGAGGTGCAGTTACTAAGATCGGGGCCCTTAGGGTTCCATGTTCCAGTGGAAACCATGCAGAGATATGAGGCAGTTCCTGCAACAGATGTAGAAAACAATAGTGAAATTGAAACCATTTTTCTGCCTCCATTCGGGAAATTGGCTATGATGATCAGGCTCTGTGTGTTAAATTTTGAATAAACGCAAATGCAAGTGGCTGACAGTAACTGACACAAAGCAGTGTAATAATGCAGATTATTAACAGTAAATATAACGTCAACATAGGAAAAGCAGGCATTTAGCAAAAACAAAATGTCCTTGGTTTTTGAGTGATACATCCAAAGCAAAGATTCCAACAGAGAAAGGCAGCCTTTATGAGGCAAAAAGCCTCACGAGTCAGTTCTCTGGTTTGACCTGGCCTTTCAGAGCAAAGAGGAATTCTGTGCCTAATCCAAAATAACTTTCAGAGTTAAAAATTTTATGCTAATTACAGATGCTATATTAACAAAATATAACAGTAATAGCAAGGCTAGCCACTGTGAACATATGTCGAAAAAAATCACTTTATTGTAACAATTTTTAAAAAAGTCTATGCATGGTATTGTACGATAAATACCTCTTGTTCCCTTGGGACATGGTCGTTCAACCATCATTCCCCTTTGTGTCTGAGGCCACCATATTCCCCTGGCTTCTAACGCTTCGCAGAATCTCTCTGGCAGGGGAAAAATATTTGTTACAGGAGGAATTTTGGTTGTAGAAACTGCAGGAGGTGGTTTTGTTCCCTTGCTTCCTTCCTGTGATCCAGCTACAGTTGTGCTCATGGGGCCTTTCTGTGAAGTAGTGCTTGTGGTTGATACTGTGGTTTTGAACAGCTCAGCTGAAGAAGTTATTGTCACAGCTGTAGTAGGCACTATGGAAAGAAGATGAGCATATTAATCTCAGACACACTCTCACACTCACATACAGGTACATGTATGTGAATGTGAACAAGCACGTGTGCGCACACACACAAACTATTCCTACACCAACAATAGGGCAAAGAAAAGAAGAAATATCTTTTTGTTATTCTACTTTACTTAAATATTTGGCTAAAAGATGGTCGTGTAGCTTTTACTACAGCATTACTTTAACTGTGTCAGATTTACATCTCAAAGTTTAAGCACAATTTTATTACATATTATAAAATGAGAAATGAAGGCAAATTTTGAAGTTTTATTGTTTCTTACAACAAAATACATTAAAATGGATAACTGATCCTTCTATCAACTCATAATTCAAATGCAACTCGAAATGTCAACCAAAGCTCTGACCATTATCATTAGGACAAGAAAAGATTTCAAGTTACCCACTCTGTATCTTGCAGGAAAATAAATACTGTGAAATCATTCCACCCAGCAGCCGCTGTTGCTGGAGAGAATTTTCAGCATGTTTGATTCGATGCAACAGAAGATAAGATTGACAGTCTTGTATTATTTTAATAAGAAAATACTTGTGGATTTGGAGTATCTACTCCCTGAAAATGTATGTTTGAAGAAAAACTTGTTCCCTTTTAGAGATGCATAATATAATCTCTTATGAAGATAACAGGCTAGATCAAATCATGCCTAATTCTAGGCCAACCTTACATATCTTTCTGATCCGTTAATAATATAAAAAGTATACACAAAAAGCATAAAAATACGATGTCACAATTTTTTCTGATATTACACATTTTCATAAATGGACAGTATGCTGAATCAAGAAGCATTACATTTTGCTATGAAATATGGATTTTGATGCATAATCTGGGTCATTCTTTTCCTCTGGATTGTTATGTAGGATTACACAGGGCACACCCGGTACTGTGAATCCAGTAGAATACATATATTCCCTTAGACATGGGGGATAGTGTCAGGGAGCCTAATTTGTAGGTCCCTTGATAGGTACATACACTTTCAGGCATATGGAAATGGGAGTATTAGCAAGAACATGAAATCATAGAGAAAAGGCAACTTCCAATAATACAAACCTACTGCTGCTAAGTAAGTAAATTCCAATTTATGCAGACTCTCCCTCAGGATTCTAAAACTATGTATTTTAGCAACAGAAGACTGACTATATTTCTCATATGGAGGTGATGGTGGGTTTGAACAACCAACCTTTCTGATTATTAGTCAAACTTGTAATATATACCACTAGGCACCTGGAAATATACTTACAAGGCTTATTTTCTGAACAGAAACACACAAAGCTTTGTAAATCACTCTTCCAGGAAGCATCACCTCATTCCACCATTCAAGACTCTAAAAACAGTTTGAGGCACACCCACCATTTATTCCGTTTCAAACCCTTTCCCTCCTGTCACTTGCATGCAGAATCAATGATAAAGGAGCTTCCCAATAAACCCCAAGAGGGGAAAGTAGTGGGCCCTGTATGTTCCAAAACAAAAATCCAATGCTGATGAGTGAATTCCAACTCACAATGACCCTCTCCATGGAGTTTCCAAAGCTATATATAGTTTGGGGATGGGACTGACTACTCATCTTTCTCCCTTGGATATGCTGGTCTTCTAGGGTTTCTTGGCCAAGCTGACCTCTTAGTTAGTACTCTATTACCCACTATGCCTTTGGGGCTCATTGTATTTATATGTACCTAAGTGAAGAAAAGGTGAAAATGGAATTTCCCCCCTTCTTTTTAAATTACTTCATTACCCAAATTATTTTCAAATCACTTCATTAAAAAAACCCACAAAACCTAAAAAAAAAACCCCTAAACAAATAAAATTGGCATTTAATACTTTTTCACAATCTGTTAATTTATTCAAATAAAAAATCTTGTCAAAATAAATTTGCAGCAATTTCAAATTTGTGTAATAGGTTTTAAAGAAGAGTACAAGTTGTAAAAATTAATAACATTCAGTTAATATATGAGAAAAGGTCCTAAAAGTCCAAATTAGTTTCAGATTAGCACAGGAAAATGCTTATTAGCTTATGCTCTTCTCTATAATTATTGGTTCGTATAATCCTGACATTTTTAACAGATAATACTACATTTAACACCAAAATATAATGTGTAGTTACTTTTAATTTTAAAAAAGCAACTTAAATTATTTATTAGTAAGTATACTACACACATTTTACCCTCCCATTCATTTCTTTCACATGAAAAACTTCCTAAGCCATGTGTTTTATATCCAGGGCATAATTTATTGACCATATGAAAGACACCTATGTACATTAGTCAAACTTCATGCTTTGCCAGCTACTGCAAAAACCTATTCAAACCTGTCTATCTTTTTTTGCAAAGCACTTGGCTTGACATCCTGTTAAACTTCTGTAATTCTCTTTTGATTACATTGAAGTCAGGCTTTCAGAGCTTTCTCAATTAACATTTGTCAAAAGCATCACAATCTTTTGCAGAAATGTCAAATAACTGCTGCTGAATCAAGTTTACAAGAGGAGTATAAATCAGTGAAAAAGAGAGGAAAAGGCAAAGAAAAGGGTTTAATGCTAAAAGCATCTTATGTATCCCTTGGAATCATCCAAACTAGTACCTATTTAGTCACTGAAACATGTATTAACAATACTGCATTAGTGATTTATTAGCTAAGAATCAGTAAAGATCCATGTCAACTGAGTTAAAGTACATAATAAAATGATATCCATTAAATGTATAAAGTTTCATTCAGCATTGCACAGTCATGTTTCTATGTCTTTTTTTATAAATTTTCATTATCCAAGTTAGTTTAAAAGGAATTGGATTAACATAATCTTCTGTAGTAATGAAACATGAGTATATTATGAAAATAAATTTCAAGAGGCAAAATTAAATACTTTTGGAGGCAAAATACAATTTATGGATTTTACAAAATGATAGTTAAGACAGGTAAGTGAAGAGTAATTTATCTAATGTTGAAGCCAGACACAGAAATATTTTAGAGGGAAAAAAATACATACATATTCTCCCATATGTGAAGACAGGTACCAAGAGGGCATTTGATAATGCTAATTTCTCATATGTAGTCAGTATTTATGTGTCAAATGCTCTTTTCATCACTTTATCTATCATTATACAGAATCATCACCTAAAGCCCATGATATGGACACTAAGATTTGCTTCTCTTTTGTACTCAAGGTCATGGAGGGACCAAGAAGTTATGTAACTTGTTCTAAGTCCCTTTTCCACACATTAAATAATATCATTTGCTTTCTAGGTTTTCATAAACTCTGGAAAGTATGGAATCCCCTAAAGCAGCCTGTCCTTATTTGGAGGATAATAACTGACAATGTGTTCTGTTTAATTTCTAAAACTGAAGATGTGGGAAGAATGTAAGATACTAGAGAAATAATAGGTAAAAAGTTCCATCATGAAACTGATATTGCAAAGGTTCAAAACAGAAGAATATCCCATGACAAGTATTGAAAACATGACATACTTGAAATACTTGATATATCTAAGCCCTAAAAGGGAACTCTGGTGACCTAATGGCAAGAAGCTTCTCTATGTTCCTGAGGACATGTGGTTCAAATCCACCAGCTGCTCTGCAGAAGGGTGGGCAATCTCCTTTTATGAGATTAACTGCCTCTGAAAACCCACCAGAGGGTCAGGCATAGGTCAGTTCCGACTCTATGGTACACAATAACATACACTAAATGAAGAGCTCTTTCCTAGTGTTATTAAGACGCCACATCAAGCATTCAGATGAAATGATTTAGCATTCTGTTTATCATTGTCCAGTTGTGAGCAGAGAGACCTAGAAATGGTCTAAATTTATGTATAGGTACACAGTAAAATTTTTACAAACATAAAGAATTTTTAATTTCTATAGTTGGATTTACTGGAAGCTTGCTTTTTTGTGCACTGAAGGGCTACAGGAAAATGTCCATTTATGTGAAGCGTGGTTTTTCTTACCAATGTGATAATAACTAATCCATTGTTTAATGAGTGAACTCCCATTAGAGTAAATAGTCATTATATTTACCCTGATTCAATGCCTTAAAATACTGATCTTTAATTGAGCAATCATGTTTCAGGAAATACGTATTTATTGCTAATAATAAACAAACAGCTTCTCCATGAAAAAGTTAATCCATATTTTACTTCATAATTAGCCTTAAGAAAAATAGAGGCATTTTGTATCCCCAAGTGAAGATATCTTTTCCATGATTTTGAGGATATCATATTTGTAAAATGATTAAATCTTCTGCAAATGAGATTAAGAAATAGAAAACCGTTAAAAATAGGACTGAAAAGGATTTTTTTTTCTTTCTAAGATTAATATAAAGAAGGAAAAGGTAAAAGAGGAAAAGCAGACCTGTTTAAGGGAATGGAGCAAATGAACTATGCAGAGATCACATAAGGTTAAAAATTCAAAGAAAAAAAAAGATGTATTTGAAAACCATTATCAGGGCATTGAAATAATATGCTTGTGCTGTTAGGGATGAAAAAGCTTAGATTTATAAATGGGCAAAATATTGAAGCTAATACACTGTGAAATAGTCCACAATGAAAGATGAAAGGAATGGATAATTTTACAGCACACTTTATGCCTTGGCCAGATACATAGTAGGCAAGCCAGTATATAAGACTTTAACTGTGAATTCCAGCCAAATCAGTCAATCAATACTGTAAGACAGGCAAAGACCTGATTTCTCTGTATTATCATTTCTTGGATCTTGCTTCTGAAAAGCTGACAGTGGTTTATTGGTTTGAATTAAATTTATGAGGCAGAGAGCTCTGCAAGATCCCATCTACACGCATCTAGTTATTAATACCTATCTAGAGATGAGAGAGACAGGGGTTTCTTATTAAAATAAGTCATGAGGAGGTAGAAAGACTAAAATATGGGTCAAATAGTAGCAAAAGAAATTTAAGTAAGTTACAACATTTTCTCACTAAAGGTTAAATTAGAAGGTCAACAGGAATTTTCATTTTGTAGAAAGATTTAAGACTTGCATGAAATGGACAGACTATAGCAATAAGCTCAAGTGTGTCAGAGTGTTAGAGGAACAAGATTGTTCTTAGGGTTGCTAGAAGTCATAGTCAAATTGATGACACCTAGAAAAAAGAACTTTTACTGACAAAACTTAGTTGTATTAACTTGTAGTTCCTCTTATGCCTAAGTTGTCAGATTCACAGCTGTTTTTTCCAAGAATCATCTAAATTACCAGATTTTTTTTCTCCAACAAAACTGAATCAAGTTATTTACTAGGATATGTCACTCATAAAGAATGACATTATTATCTCTGTATTCACCAAAGAAGTTTATGGTAAGTGATGGGTACTCATTCTTTAATGAATTGAATCTACTCAACTTTATTCAAAAATCTTCACTAGTTTCCCGATAACAGATTTCTATTTTTAAAACCATTTTCTTTCATTTTGTTCTTAGGGAAGAAACTTACTACAGTCCAAACAAGAAACTTACTACAGTCCAAACAAGAATAGTTCTAAATAAGGTTAACATACAGGTTTTATCAATGTCTAAATTCTGCATTTTGGCAAACTTACACAGTAAGGGAAAAACACAATGCTAGATTTTAGGAAAACAACTGAGAAAAAAAGGAAAGATTCCCTATTGCTGCTTTTTAGAGATAAAACACACATGCAAATTTAAAATAAACTACTGTAACATATGATAAAGACATCAAACCCTAAACGAAAATGTAACTATTGAAATTTAACAGTGAGAAATTACTGTTATAGTGTTGAACCATAGAATTCCAGGTAAAGCACAGAATTTGGCATTGTACTTAATTACCCAAATTAGCATTTCAGTGAGAAATGGCTATAATTTCGGCTTCGACTATCTGGACTTTTTGAAAATATTTAGACACCCAATGCGTGGGTGTTTATTTATAGTTATGAACATGCTTCTATTAGGAATATAGCTTAAACCTAAGAAGATATTAACCTTTGTTCCATAAGAGATTGTATTGATCATGCCACAGAAATTTACAGTGTCTACATTTTTTAAATAACTCAGTAATTTTATAAAACTCCAATTAGCTTAGTAAATTCAAATTTTAAATACACAAACACCATTCTTCAAAGAGTAAAGATTTATAATTTGTGTGACCTATATAATACTTTAATAGGTTACTATTTTATCACCTATGTGAGGTTATCTTGTATCAGTAAATACTCATTTAATCTACCCTGAAAAAATTGTTTCCTACAGAAATGCACTCACTTAATAAACTGAAATACATTTCAAAAGATTACACCTTACCTTCTGGAAGTAATGATCCTTTAAAAGGATACCAAAATGTAGACAAAATACGCTAAGGTCTAACTTCCATAAATCATTGCTTTGGATCATTTAATGCTTAGTCTTTGCATGACAGTTAAGAGTTACATACTTAAAACTATCAGTAAATCATCAATAAATAGTAATGTGTAATTTTACATGATGACATAGAAAAATGTTGGAAGACTCCCTTTCTTACACAGAAAACAGCTGCCAAATCTTTAGAACACTTTTACCTGGCACTGAAAATCTAGCCTAGCAATTCTCAGGGGATTCCTAACACACCATTTCCCTTAACCAATGGCGCCAAGAAGTTAAAAGGTCTGCACGTAAATTGTAATCAATTCAGAAATCAGGTGGGGGCAGGAGGAGAAAGATAACAGGGTTTTTTTTTTTATTTTTAGCAATGAACTACAGGTTTTTTAAGGACATGATTTTTTTTAAAAAAGTTGATTAAAGGGAAATGGATCAGAGCAAGGCTAAAATTTATGGACAATGTAAATAATTGTATGATAAATGTATGATAATATGAATTGCTGTAACTCTAATTATGAAAAGGATATGATCTCAGTGGACTGAAATATAAAAAAAAAGTTAATAAACGGCTTTAAAATAATTTCTGCACAAAACTGAGCCTATCTTATCAAGCAAGCAGTCTTACCTTGGGCAGGATCAGGTGGACCAAACTCCAGAGAATATCTCAAAATGAAATTATTGTTCCACACATAGAGTTGATTATCTCTTGGATTGTAATCCACTGCAGCAATATACTGGTATTGGTTGGGGAAGGGAACATCTACATATTCTCCTCGGTTCAGTCGAGTGTTGTAGATGTAATCAATTGCATTCTTGCCAGTTTCACTTTCATTGTCTTGATAAACTGACCTGACTACATAGAGTACTCCACATATCATAAAAGCATTTGATGCAGCACGCTTGTCATATACAGTATCCCATGTTGCTTCAAATCGAAGAGTATATGGATTCAGTTGGCTAATAACTATCATTCCATTATTCTGCTCAGTGGCATAAATGACCCAAAGTCCATTTTCATCAACTGCTAGGTCAATATCAGTCTTCCCTCCCCATCTATATGGTGAGGTATCATGGTAGTTGGCATAGTTAATTATGGCCTCCCCACTCTTAATTCTAGTCCTCAAGTCAAATTTCACAATATTCCTTGTTCGTTCTTTGTTGAAGAAGACAGCACCATCATATACCACAAATCCAGTACCATCTACTCGATTAGGAAGTTTATATGTTGTTGTCTGGCGACTATTTTGGAAATCTTCTAAAGAAGCATATTCTATCAGAGTATCAGTACGGTAGGGAGTCCAGGGCATGAAATAAATTTTATCTGCAGCCTGAAGAGGGTCCTTACACCAAGCACCTGCCTTTTGTTCTGCTTCATATATACACGGTGAATCCACAATTGCTTTCAAGGTCCCAGGACATACAAAAACTAAGAGTCACAAAAAAAAAGGCAAGAATTAAAGGTAAGTTAACAATAGCATAAGAAAATACATGCTTTAATGGTCAAAAATAAAAAGAAAAAGTAATTTTATTAGCAATCAACTGCCCAAAAATGTCTGCTTAGTACAATGTCTGCTTAGTACAAGTACTACCCTTCTCTCTTAAAGTTACATGAATTAGTATATCAGCACATACCTTAGTGGTTGGGGTGCATTTTAATAAATACAAAATTCTGTTTAAGGTTTATAACTCGGGTGACAACTTAAGTTTCTGCTGTTGTCTTTACCTTATAATTGGATATTACATGCTTTAAAATGCTTAACTTCTATAGAACAGTGTATAAAGTATTTCATTTCAGTACAAACTTCATACCCACTTTTAAACCCTCCTATAAATCTCCAAAATAAAAACAGAAAACAAATGCTAAGGCTTATTTAGAACATCTAAAGAAGTTAGACTGAAAACGAAAGTCTTAATTTAAGGACTATAAATACTTGGAAAATGCAATCAGGAAGAGAGAAAAGTAAATACAAGGAAAGCAGTGAATGAAAACAACCAGGAAACCCTGTAACCATGGCATGCTATGGGAGGGTGCTGGAAGTCAGGGAAGATGACATTTTAATAAGAAAATATCCAAAGGTGTCAGGAAAAAGAGATAAAGGGTGAAAAAAGAACAGAGAAACAAAACCACCCCTCGCAGACTTCAGACCTTATCCCATCACCAGATTGAACAGTCAAATAATTTCATTGTAAATAGTCCACTTCTTTATAAGGTGCATTTATGAGATCCTGCAGATTATTTTAATACCAAGTATTAAAGTGTTGTGAGGGAAGGGGAGGGAGGAGGTTAACATCCATAAGGCACATAACAGGGAGCTGGGGTTGGACTGTGTACGTTATTTACCTTTTTGCTCCACTTCTATTTTAAGCATTGGAAGAAAACATAAAAAGAGGTAACAAGGAAAAAAAGAAAAAAGATTAAAATAAAGTGACTATTAGTCTAAGACTGAATATGTAATAGGCAATAGATGCTAAATATAGAACAGCAAGGGCTGCACTACTTTGGATAAAGAGAAACACAAACAGGAAAACCTAGCAAGAGAAAGATTCTAAAGTTACATAAAAGAACATGGATCAATCATTTTAGTAGATTAAGGAGGCAATACAAATATGTTGGCATGTTGCTTCACTTAGTGTACCTGAATAAATAATGAAAACTCTTTACTAATGCATGGTATACATACTCTTGACTTTTCAAAGTCACTCAGCATTCTTATCAAGTTTTACGTTCTATAAGTATGCTATACACACAGATGCATGCAAAGGTGTTATCTTCTCCATTAAGAAAATGTGCAATTACTAAATTTACTGAAATTAGAGAAGCACAAATCAGGAAAATATACTTCTAAAACATGTAACTTTGGGGTTGAGGTTAATTAATAAATATTAATATGGTAACATTTTTCCCCTAAGCTATTTTGGTAGAGGATTATTATACATTATGCATCTTGACACACATTTTAATTGTTTTATATTATCTTCAATTTCTAGAATAATGCCATCTAAAATATTTTCTAAAAATGCCTCCTTTTCAGAAATATATAAAATAAACCTGCCCCACAGACCAGTAAGAATATTGATAGGGCGGGGTAAGGCAATGCCTTTTCTCTCCACTAAGTATTAACAAATTTACTTAATTAGGTTTACACGTACTTTATCATATCAGTCTTTTAAATTACAATACATATTTTAAATACTATTATTAAGTCTATTAAAAAAAGTAAGCATAATACATACAAGGGAAAAGCAAGCACAGTAGGCAAGGAGAAAAAGGAAGAAAGAATTATGGTTAGCTTATTATGACATTTTCTATCATCAATTTACACAGAAAGCAAGCTTGCATGCAGATACCCATTCTAAGCATTCAAAGCAAATACCTCACCTCCACAGACCCTATTAGAAGGTAAATGCTTTCATAAAACAAACCTGATTAGTATAATTAAATGATAAAAAAAAAGCATATGCTTCTTCCAGTAAGTTTAAAGAAATGGAATATATAGATAGAGGAAAACCCATTACTATCTAGTTAGTTCCTACTTACAGACCCTGTAGGGCAGAGTAGAACTGCTACATAGGATTTATAAAAATGGGCTCTTTATGAGCCTAACCAGTCATCATCATTCTCTGTAGGAGTGGCTGGTGTGTTTGAACTGCCAACCTAATGGCTAGCAGTTTAACACGTAAATACTGTACCAGCACGGATACTAAATTATAGAAAGGGTGCTATAAAATAACCTGGCCAGTGAATCCTTTTCTGAAAATTACAATACATAAATTATTATCTTAGATTGTCTGCAGACTTTGAAGTATGTTGCCCGAATTTCATAAAATGACCAGATTAATGTCTGTACATTTTCCTCTTTCCTTATTAAGATGCATTAGGGTATACTAATACTATATCTCCAAACTGATTACTTGAAGGCCCTGTAGTTGCACATTTCATTATGTTGTCCTAGCTTGATTAATTTTTAAAAATTGTAATAACTCATCAAGATTAAATATTGACCTGAAACACATTTGGGAAAAACAGATTACACAAACTTAGCTGCCACCGAAAAATAGCACAGATTCTTTAATATTGAGGCATCACCTCCCCAATCCAATGTGGTATATTTAAGCACTTTCAGGAAACATACTTGTTCCTAAAATGTGTCATTCTGACTATATCCAAGTAGATAAGAGAAATTCAGTGTCACTGATGGAGAGAAAACACTTCTATATAAACCACTAGCCCTAAGATGGGTCTTCTGTGAAGAGCAACATTATACCTGCTCAGAATCAATAAAGGAAGGGCGTGGTAAGAAAATGAACACAAGAGAAATCATTAGTGAGGTGACTGTTGAGACTACATTTACAGATAGATATATTTTTCAAAAAAACTACATTAATTGAAACAAATCCATTAATGTAAAGGAAGAGGATAATACATTGTAAAATAAATTTAATAGTAAAAATAAAAGATAAAAAGATTAACAAAAAGCTATACAAAGTGTATTTTATGTTTCCCCTTAATTTAAAATGGCTAAATTTTATTATCTGAAGCACTAAAATGACAAAGTAGCTCCTGAGCCATGTGTCAGACATGGAAGAAACCATAATTTTGTAATTTAAATGTTATCCATTATATGAAAAGAAAAGAGCACAGATATGAAATTTATAGATATAAATATACACAAAATTTAAAAGAGGGATGAAAGTTGTGATGTAACAATCACATGTAAAACTAAATAACAAAAGCAAATCTTTTGATGAGTCAAATGAGATGAATATTTAAAAAATAAGGTTGACATTATGTTTGTTAAATAAAACAGAAAGTCCACATAATGATTTTATAAAAATTCCAGGGAAATGAGAACAATCAATTAGCTCTGTAGGAATCTTTCAAATTCTATCAAACAATAAAAATATGATAATACAATCAAATAAACCTTCTCCATCACATTCTCAGTACATATTGCAAATTGTCTAAAAGATTGCATGAACTAAATCATAACAATGTTTAACTTTACTATGGTTCAAACACACATACATGACAGATCAAAATTAGTCGAAGACTACGTAGTTATGCAAGACAAAAAACTGACCAAAACAAACTACAGCTTATATACTCTGCATCTGAAGTGATACACTATTTCATTTTTACTAATCTCACTGGTCTGTTAATATTAAAAATAATTTAATCATAAGCAGCTGTTACGATTCTCAAATAAAAATTCACATTAAAATGAATGTTATAACTAACAAGAATATGAAATAAAAAGGTATGAAAATAAAATAAAACAAAAAAACCACAACAAACACAACACCAAATCCTATCTGTAGGATGTGAAATTCCAATCGGATTAATTTCCTTTTTCTCCAAGGTCTTTATGAGTCATCAGGGCCTCTTTTAAACCCATAAGCATTCATTTCCGAATACTGGTATACTACAGAAGATGTCTTACATAAATATATTTTTGACACAAACATTACCTGGTCAATAATGTAGATCAAATATAATGCATATAAATATACAAAGTATATTTACTGTGCATAAGTAACAAAACAAAAAAAATCAATTTTAAAAATGTTTAGTTAAAGAAATTAAGTTTAAAGATTTCAGGAATAAAGGAAAATTTTTGAAACTGCTTTTTGAGAGCACAGGGAACAGTTTGGAATATATAAACTTCTGGATGATTTGTGCTGGGTAGACACTCACATCAAACCAAAGCAGAGGACACATAAAAATGGTATCTGATGATGATAAACTTCATCAACTAAATATTAAAGTGCACAAAAGGTGTGCAGATACCACAAAATATATAATTATTAAAATAAAATGAATGATAGGTTTAACATGTAAATGTATGAGATGAATATAATACATTTAAAATATAAGTGTATTAGACAAAAGGAATTTTTTTTAAAAAAGAGTGAAAAATGAAGGTAAAAGATCAGAACACACATAGTCATTCACAAGGTTAGGATACTGCAAAAAGGTAATTTGCATTAAACTGATATTGGTAATATAGTGTGCCACTACTGTACAGTTTATAGATATTCTAATACTTTTTTACTTTTCAACAAGGAATATTTGAGGTTAGGGGAGAGATAGAGCCATAGATTTATTTCTGCCTCGTGCACACATCTAGAAAGGTAACAGAAAATTGATTACTGTTGGAATTTTTTAGACAGAAACCAAAAAGAACAAATACTTCTCTGGGTATAGGTATTTAAAAGTTTAATGCACAACATACAATACTTCTGGAGAACTGAAAAAGTAAAATTTTGAAAGTTAGATGTTCCAGAAGATATCCACAATTTTCCTTTCTTAAACAGCACAAGAAATAATTCAAAAGTCAGGAAATAACATTTGCTTAACACTGTTCTTGGTCACTACAGGAACAGGTTCCAGAAAGACACAATTCTTGGCACCACTGTTTGAGAATGGATGCTGTATTCCTTTTCTAATTTGAGGACAAAAGTCATGCTAAATTCAAGGGAAAGTGACTTTATGGAACAAAACAATATTGGTTAGCTCAAAACAGTACAATGTTCCTTGAGTGACACGGGAGAGTGATTATGTAAGTCACCAACACTACACATAAGAGAAATGATACAAAGATCAGTGCACTCAGTAGGCTTCCGATCCTACAAATGGTACAGAGAAAACTGAAAACATAAAAAGCATCCATTTCACAGTAGCACAGGAACACAGAGCAAGGAAGAAAAGGAAAGGTAATCTGTGTTTGGCCTTTAACTGATACCCCCTCAAAAATCAATTTATTAAAAAGGTGGCAGAGGGGAGAAAGAGTGGATGCCTTCATAGGATGGGTAAGAATGTATTACTATCACATTGGACATACCATTGTCTGAATTCAGCCCTTTGATTTTATAAAAATTGGTAGTTGACATATGAATCTATTAGATCTTAGTGATCTTTTGAGGCTATGAAAACAGCAACATCATTATCTCGTGAACACAACATATGTATTTCAGAGCAATTGGTATATAAATGACACCCCACCAGAAAAAACAAGCTCAATACCTTTTACTTAAAAGCTAAGGACAGGATTAATTTTTCCCCCAAGAAAAATATAAGAAGTCAGCTCTTTAAAAAAAAAAAAAAGAAAACCACCATGGACATTAGGGAAATTAGAGAGTATATGTAAACATTTACGGTGTCTAAAAGCTACGATCCTACTGAAATCAGTATAACGGTAATTTAAATTATGAATTCTAAATTATGAGAAAAAGCTACCAAAAATTAGAACATGAGTAAGGACTATCTACAGATTAAATGGAGTTTCAGATGATCTTTTTGTAGGATCTTCTTGAAGATGATGTTATAAAATAAAAACTAGAAATCTGTCTACGGTTTTGCTACAGCTACCTATTTTATTTCGTGTAAAGGTTTTGACACTGGATCTGGTAAAGAAATACTCCTTAACTGCAACTGAACAAAAAGGAAAGCACTCGCCTCGGTTACTGCAAGGGTAGTTTTTACCAGGCACTAAACAGCAGGTAGCCATTCAAGTAGCTCACGATTAAAACTGAAGTCAATTCCTTCTTTAGAAAACTGTGAGCCAAACCAATTTGTCAGCAACTGGTATTGGGCGAAAGTACAGATTTCTATCTGCCCTATTGAATAGCTAATTCAAGTTTGTTTTCTGGAAAAACACTAGCCTTAAAAGCCAAACACTTAAGAACACAGACAGACACTTGGCCAGCATTACACCATGGCTTCCTTCCACACTTCATGAAGCTAATTGGAGGCCCGAGTCTGTTAGTGCTCTGCATGCATAATGGTTTTGTAGGCCATAAACATATGCTTCTTTCACATGTGTAGTCTTTCAGCACCAGCAAGGACTGCTGGAGAAAACGAGAAATAAAAACTCCGTACTTACTATATGGGACACATTCATATTGGACTTCAAGGTATTTGTATGTTCCAGGACATGGATCAGGAAATACATCTGACCCAGTAACTACTATACATTGTGTTCGATTGTTGCACCTGTAAGACAAAATGAACCCAACTTGTAAAACACAGTATTAGTATATTCTTATTACATAAACATGTCACCAAATTACATTCTCTCTAAGCAACCAGGATCATAAAACAAAAATTACAACTAATACTAGATTGTTGATAACCTCACTCTTTTACACTGCAGTATTTCTGCATTATGAATCACTACATTTTAACTCAAAGTAAACACAAAATAACTAGTTTCTATTATTCTATAGTATATTACAATTTGAGTATTTGACATTTTCAACACGCAGTGGGGAGTTAGGGCACAACTTACTAGGATTCTTGTTACCTTGCTGCCACAATTCAGAATAGAAATTACACACATAAACATGATACGGTTTCCATAAAGGACAGAACACACTACAAGCATCTAGCACAGTCACTGGCACTTGCTGAGTGGTTAAAGCGCTCAGGTGCTAACCAATGGCTAGAGCTGCTGAGAGCAAGCAGTAAAAGATTGAGGTTTCCTGCTTTTGTTTTAAGCATTATCGTATCGTTATGATAATTATTTCACAGACCAATGTGTTTTCATTATAAATATATGATTATGCACTTGGATTTTAAAATGTTTTTCCTGATTGTTATGGAGTTAATGCTATCTCACAGCAACTGTTTATGTGCTAGAGAAGACCTGGCTTCAGAGAATTTTTAAATACCATGAAATAGAGTTCCAAACCATTCTTCTGAGTTTCTTCTGGATGAAATGGAACCTCCACAGTTTCACTCAGTAACTAAGTACTTTAACTATTTTCAAAACTCAGGATCTACTCTTTTAAATGAATACTTCCAAAATTGTAACACAGAGAAATAATAGAACAAACTTGATTGAAAGAATATTTTACTTATTGCTAATGCTGAGGAAGTATGCTCTTATTTATACTTGGTCATGAGGCATTAAGACCGTTTTATTAAGTTAGAATTCCAGGTGAGGTGCTATTTATTAAAATCCTATGCATTTGTCCAAACGGACTTTTCATATTGTCTCTGTTAATGTTAAGCTTTTGTATAGGTGAGAAATTATTTCTTTGTAATTGGATTTTCTTACAACCCAATGTAGAGTAATGATTGCAGAATTTTTATTATGTGTCTAATAAGTATAGAAATTAAGAAGTCAAAGCAAGCAGAACAAGAACATGATAACAAAATTTATGTAATAATTTGAATACCAGATAGCCTAAAGTACATTAATATAACTGAACTATAAAATGGCAATATTAGTGATAGAACAGCAGGCCAATTCACAACATCACATCTTGAAAGAAGTGGAAGAAGAATACTGCTGACCATGGGTAGATGTGATGACAGGAAACTTGGGGCCATCCCAATTATGACCCCCAGAATACATGAATTTTCTTTTTAGAGCAGTGAAATTGAAAAATACTATAGGATTAAACATGTAAATTTTATATTTCAAAATACAGTACAATGAACTTCATAGAAGAATTTTAAATATTAAATAATTATAACCCACTCTCTCAAGAGTACTGAAGAGTAACGACATCAGGCTGGAGACTAAGGTGCGCCTGATCCAGGCTACAGTCTTCACAATTAAGTGTTATGCATCAGAGACTTGGACAGTGAATAGGGCTGACAGAAAGAGAATTGATGCCTTTGAGCTTTGGTGCTGCAGAAGAGTGTTGAATATACCATAGACTGCTAGGAGAACAAACAGATTTGTCCTGGAGAAGGGGAAGCCAGAATGCTCCTTGGAGTCAAGGATTCTGAAGCTTTGTCTGACATACTTTGGGCATGATGCAAGGAGGAATTGGTTCTTGGAGAGGGACATCATATTTGGCAGAGTGGAGGGGCGGTGAAGGAAAGGAAGACCTTCAATGAGATGGATCGATTCTGTGACTGCCGTGGTGGGAATAAGTGCGTTCGAGATGGGTAGGTTGGCACAGGATAGAACAGCGTTTAGAGCTCTTATACATAGCGTCACTATGAGTCACAAATGACTCGATGGCACATGACAACAACAACAACCTACTCTATAAAAATATAATTTTATTGTCGGTTTATATAAGCCATATCATGTTTTTTTATATATCTATCACAAACAAGATCATGAAGAATGTAAATATAATGGTGTGCTATTCTGCAAAATACGTATTTCTCTTAAATTTGTTCTGTCATGCAGAGAGATTTGACAACGGTCCCCCACTTAACGTAAATGAGCTACTTCAATATAAGTTATGGAATCATTTACTATTTTAAAATTTTAGACAGCAGCTTACTTGGAAGACCTTTTAACAGGTTAATACTATGATTTAAATAATGATTTAACATTATGATTTAACTAATGCAATATCATAATTCTGAAATTCATTTTAGTTCTTGCTTAAATTCTACAGTTACAAGAGGGTCCAATACTTTGTCAAGTTTCTTGATTCCCCAATAATCCCCAACTACTACACTGGTCTCAACTCATGGTGAGTCCTTTCACATCAAAGTAGAACTGTACTTTGTTTCGAATAGCTGATTTTGTGGGTGGCATTATTACTCCAATCTTTTAGTTAGGAACTCAGAACCGTAACTACTTACACCACCAGTCAGGTTTCCTTATTTGTATTTATTCATAGCAACAGGCATTTTCACAAAAGTTTAGTGGCATAATTCTGTAACACTGGGCTTCTAACCAAAGGCTTAAACACACCAGTCACTCCAAGATAAGACCTAGGGATCTAGTTTCATAGATTTTACCATAAGAAATCCTATAAGGAAATTCTACTCTGTCCTATGAGGTAGTGAAAATTTGGAATTGAGATAACAGTACCCATTTTATTTATTTCACCTCTAAAGCATCACAAGATATATCTGACTTACTATGTATTAGATCTCTAATCCTCGTATACTCTACTTGTATTACTTTTATAACCACTCAATAAAGTTTTACTAATGTTGGTATGTTGGTAGGATTTTAATACACATCTAAGATATATTCATGGAAAATTCCTAAAATAACACAAGTCCATTTACAGGTAAACATTTCATATTGACATTCACATTCATCCTCCCAGCCCACAAAACCTTCTCTCATGTTATTAAACTAGAATGTGTGAAATAATAGGGGTGTTTATGCTCAAAGCTGAAATGGATCAGTGTAATAAAGAGCTTCAAAATGACGAATTAACTAACTCAAAGGTGCTGGAAATGTGTCTTTTTTTGTTTGTTTTGCTTAATTTTATTAATAAATGGATGGGAAAGTCTGCTGTTAGGGACCTCTCTAAAGTACTCAAGAGCAACGGTGTCTCTCTGGAGACTAAGATGCGCCATGGTTTTTTGCAATCACTTGTTATGCATCAGAGAGTTGGACAATGACTAGGGAGGATAGAAGGAGAATTGACGCCTTTGAGCTGTGGTACTGGAGAAGGGTACTGAATGTACCATGGACTGCCAGGAAAACAAACAGATTCATCCTAGAGAGGATTAAACCAGGCTGCTCCTTGGAGGCAAGGATTCTGGGGCTTCATCTGACATACTTTAGACATGTTGTAAGGAGAGAGAGGTCTTTAGAGAGGGACAGCATGCTGGGTAGGGTGGAGGGATGGCGCAGGAGGGGAAGACTCTCTATGAGGTGGATTGATTCAGTGACTGGGATAATCGGGATGGGTGTGTCGGAGGCAGTGAAATTGGCAAAGGATAGAGCATGGTTTAGGGCTGCTGTACATAGGGTCACTATGAGTCGCAACTGACTCGATGGCACATAAGAACAACAACAACAACAACAACAACAACAAGATCACACAATTATTTTTCAACTATAAGATCAAATGAGTTTTTATATTTTTTAAACTTTTATAGGTGATTAAAATATATTTTATACTATTTAATGTCATAATGGATATAAGGTTTTGCAAGTACACAAAGGATTGTTTTCCTGGTACTTTCTTTGAAAGAAGGTCAACATAGAAATTTTTTAGAAAATCCTATAACAAATACCTGACTACATTTACTTTTAATGAACAGCTTTGTATTAGTAATCTGATGACAATTACAATTGCAAATTTATGTAAAAAGCAATTACCATAATTTATAAGAAGCATGTAACTTTTGTTCTAGTAATCATACTGTGTACAAAGCATTTTCTTTCAGACTGAAATGGTGTTAATTCAAGGAATAAAATAGAAAATAAAATTAAAGGTAAGTTAGTGGAGTTGTAACAAATAAAACTATGTTAAATTGGAATTTATGGCTTTCAAATGATGCTCCAAAATATTAATTTAACATTTTTAAGGTAGCCAATATATCAGGAAAGCAAAAAGAAATAAAACCATTAACAGTAAAGACAATCAAAACTGTGTATACCAGGATACTGACTGATGAAAAGAATGCATGACTTTAGAAGCTCAAATTATAAGAATTAAAATACAGACTATAGTCATTCTTTAATGAATAAAGTAAGTATCATACTTTCAAATGCAAGGAGCCAAGGGGGAGATGCAGGGAAGGAAAATATGTGAAGTATTAAGAAAACTCTAAATGTTCTTTAATCAATATGCTATTGTTAAGAATGTAAAACTATAGATTGCCATCATTTTAGAAAGGGGAAGAAAAATCAATCAGTCACAGAAGCAAATTCTCACTAATAACTCTGCTTCATGTTTTCATTTAAATGAAAATCAAAAGGTCCAATTAAACCAAGAAAGAAAAAAATTTGTATTCTCAGCTCTAAACAGTGTTCCTTCCATGATTTTTCTCCCCTTAGGGAGCTCTGGTAGCTTAACAGTAAGTATATGTGCTGCCAACGTAAAGGTGTGTGGTTCAGTCCACCGATTTCCAATTTTCAGAAAATTGGAAGATGGGTAATCTCTTCCCATGCAATTATCAGCACCTCAAAACTCACTAAAGGTGCATCTGTGGGTTTCCTGACTCGAGGGTACACAACAACAACAACATGATGAGTTGTTGTATCTCTAGTGGCCTACAAATGACAGCAGTTAAAATGCACCAGCTGCTGCATGGGAGACTGGCCAATCTCC